AGATCTGGCTGCGCCGCCCTCCTGGCTTCACTGGGTCGGTTCCTCCTGGTACCCAGTGGAGGCTTCAGCGGCCGGTCTATGGTCTCCGCCAGGCACCGCGTGAGTGGCACGACACACTGAGGACGACACTTGCGGCTCTTGGGTTCGCTCCCTCTACTGCTGACCCGTCACTGTTTCTACGCACAGACACCTCACTGCCGCCGTTCTACATTCTCGTGTACGTCGACGACTTGGTCTTTGCCACTGCTGACACCGCGGCACTTGCCCACGTGAAGTCGGAACTGCAGAGGAGACACACGTGCACAGACCTGGGTGAACTGACAAGCTATCTTGGCTTGCGGATCACCCGGGACAGAGCACGGCGCACCATCACCTTGACTCAGTCACACATGGTGCAGCAGATCCTTCAGCGCTTCCGCTTCACGTACTCCTCGCCTCAGTCCACTCCTCTGCCTACCGGTCACTCGCTCTCAGCTCTGCCTTCGGATGAGTCTGTAGAGCCGAGTGGCCCGTATCCAGAGCTTGTGGGCTGCCTCATATACCTGATGACCTGCACTCGACCTGACCTTGCATACCCTCTTAGCATCCTTGCACGCTATGTCGCTCCTGGCCGTCACAGGAAGGAGCACATGGATGCCGCTAAGAGGGTGTTGCGCTACTTGTGCAGTACGTCGGGCATGGGGCTAGTGCTTGGAGGGCGAGACCGAGTTGTACTTACTGGACACTCAGACGCTTCTTGGGCGGACGACCAGGCTACTCAGCAGTCGTCTCAGGGTTACACCTTCAGCCTTGGCTCCGGCTCAGTTTCTTGGCGTTCTACACGCTCTTCTTCTGTTCTCAGCTCCAGTTGTGAGGCTGAGATCTACGCCACAGCCATGGCTGCCCAGGAGCTACGCTGGCTGACCTACCTGCTGACCGACTTGGGTGAGCGGCCTCGTTCTCCTCCAGTGCTGTACGTCGACAACCAGGCTGCCATTGCCTTGTGTGAGGAGCACAGACTGGAGCACAGAACGAAGCACATCGCCCTGCGGTACTTCCTTGCTCGAGAGCTGCAGCAGCGCGGTCAGCTTTGTCTGCGTTACGTGGCCACTGAGGCCAACCTTGCTGATGTGTTCACCAAGGCGCTTCCGCCTTGTGACCATCAGCGCTTCTGCTCTTTACTAGGCCTTGTGTCTACTGGACCTCACTTACTTACCAAGTGACCTTGCTTGTACTGTGATCACTATATATATATCTACCTGCATGTTTACTCTTGCTAGGTTGTGATCACTGTATCTCATGCTCTGTTATAAACCTGCATGTGAACTGGTCTTGTGACCACTAGCTTGTGCTCGGAATCTGTGCGGTATCCTTGAGATCCACCCTGAGCTTGTTGTTGCCTTGCTTTGCCTTGACTGGTCTTGTGACCCCTAGGTCTCCCCCACTTTGCCTATGGGGGTGTGTCAAACATTATATATGTTGTGTTTGTGTAGGCTGTAGTGGGTTAGCCTATAGGGGGGTCACAACATTAGGGTTTCATATTTGTACTCACAATCCTTTCTAGTTCATCATTCCAGTCCGTTCTCGTTGACATGTACGACTGAAATGTCTATATCTGCTAAATTACATAGATCCGATAGGTTAAAACATGGTCGAGGGGTGTGGAATGGTATAATTTAAATGAAATGGGAAAACATATGGTATTCATTGAATTTGTACAAAGAGACAAATGCTTCGGTCGGTTCGGTCAGAATGCACACTTATCTGAAGGTACAAGGCGGAGCTCGAACTCTGAAATCTCCCAAATTATGTGGATCGGAAAGGTTATAAGCTAGTGTTGTTGAAGTACAAGGCCTAATCTAGTGGATTGATAAGAATATGGTACTAACCGCATATCAAAAAACATCAGTAATGCGCTCGTCAGTTTGGTCGGTATGCGCGTCTGTAGTGTATGTACCATGTACGACTGAAATGTCTATATCTGCTAAATTACATAGATCCGATAGGTTAAAACATGGTCGAGGGGTGAGAATTGGTATAACGAAATGGGAATGTATGTGGTATTCATTGTATTTGTACAAAGAGAATAATGCGTCGGTCGGTTTGGTCAGAATGCACACTTGTGTGTAGCTACAAGGCGGAGCTCGAACTCTGAAATCTCCCAAATTATGTGGATCGGAAAGGTTATAAGCTAGTGTTATTGAAGTAGAAGGCCTAATCTAGTGGACTGGTAAGAATATGGTACTAACTGCATCTCTAAAAACATCAGTATTGCACTAAAAAAATGCACGGGCGGTAGCGGCAGGGTCGACAGGCCGGCAGCAGCGGCGAAGGAGGGGTAGTGCACGGGCAGCAGCAGCAGCGGCGCACGAGCGGCAGCTGCGTAGGCGCACGGGCGGCAGCGGCAGTGGCAGCACACGGGCGGCAGCAGCTGAGGCGCACGGGCGGCAGCGGCAGCGGGCGCAGTAGCGGCGGGTGCAGCGGGAGCGAGTGCAGTAGCGGCAGCGGTAGCAGGCGCAGTAGAGGCGCACGGGCAGCAGTGGCAGCAGGCGCGACAGCAGCACACGGGCGGCAGCGGCAGCGGCGCACAAGCGGGAGCGGTTGCGGGCGACGCGTAGGCTGTAGCTGCAGCGGCGGGACCGTGGTAGCGGCAGCAGCAGCGGGCGACGAGCGGGCGGCAGCTGCAGCGGCGCACAGGCGGTTACGCGCGGGCGGCAATGTGCGGGCCGGCGGGGCCGCGGCGGGCTGCGCTTTAGCGGTGCGAGCGGCGCGCGGGCGGCTAGCTGGTCGCGCGCTCAAGAAATCGGCCGCGCGCGGGCGGCTAGCAGGTCGCGTGCGGTAAAGAAAAAAACGAGCCGCGCGCGAGTGGCTGGCGGGCTGCGCGCGCGCGGTAGGTAGGAGGCGCACTAGGGCGCGTAGGCGCACGAGGGCGCACGGTAGGTAGGTAGGTAGGTAGGTAGGTAGGTAGCGGTGGGCCCTAAGAACGGTCCTGCTCTGATACCATGTCATAATCAACAGACTGGAATGACTGTACTAGCACAAAGTTGGATACAAGTAGGAAACCCTAATCTAGTGTACCCCCTAAGGTGTAACCCACTACAGCCTACAATCATATAAACATATAATGTTTGACAAAAACATTGTCGAGGGGTGTGGAATGGTATAATTTAAATGAAATGGGAAAACATATGGTATTCATTGAATTTGTACAAAGAGACAAATGCTTCGGTCGGTTCGGTCAGAATGCACACTTATCTGAAGGTACAAGGCGGAGCTCGAACTCTGAAATCTCCCAAATTATGTGGATCGGAAAGGTTATAAGCTAGTGTTATTGAAGTAGAAGGCCTAATCTAGTGGACTGATAAGAATATGGTACTAACTGCATCTCTAAAAACATCAGTAATGCGCTCGTCAGTTTGGTCGGTATGCGCGTCTGTAGTGTATGTACCATGTACGACTGAAATGTCTATATCTGCTAAATTACATAGATCCGATAGGTTAAAACATGGTCAAGGGATGAGAACTGGTAAAACGAAATGGGAATATATGTGGTATTCATTGTATTTGTACAAAGAGAATAATGCGTCGGTCGGTTTGGTCAGAATGCACACTTGTGTGTAGCTACAAGGCGGAGCTCGAACTCTGAAATCTCCCAAATTATGTGGATCGGAAAGGTTATAAGCTAGTGTTATTGAAGTAGAAGGCCTAATCTAGTGGACTGGTAAGAATATGGTACTAACTGCATCTCTAAAAACATCAGTATTGCGCTCATCAGTTTGGTCGGTATGCGCGTCTGTAGTGTATGTACCATGTACGACTAAAATGTCTATATCTGCTAAATTACATAGATCCGATAGGTTAAAACATGGTCGAGGGGTGAAGATTGGAATAAGGAAATAGGAATACATATGTTATTCATTGCATTTGTAAAAATATAATAATGTGTCGGTCGATTTGGTCAGAATCCACACTTGTGTGCAGCTACAATGCGGAGCTCGAACTCTGAAATCTTCCAAATTATGTGGATCGGAAAGGTTACGATAGTGTTATTGAAGTAGAAGGCCTAATCTTGTGGGTTAGTAAGAATATGGTACTAACTGCATCTCTAAAAACATCAGTAATGCGCTCGTCAGTTTGGTCGGTATGCGCGCCTGTAGTGCATGTACCATGTTCGACTGCAATGTCAATATCTGCTAAATTACATAGATCCGATAGGTTAAAACATGGTCGAGGGGTGAGGAATGGTGTAATTTAAAGGAAATTGGAATACATGTAGTAATTGTACAAAGAGAATAATGCGTCGGTCGGTTCGGTCAGAATGCACACTTGTGTGTAGGTACAAGGCGGAGCTCGAACTCTGAAATCTCCCAAATTATGTGGATTGGAAAGGTTATAAGCTAGTGTTGTTGAAGTAGAAGGCCTAATCTAGTGGACTGGTAAGAATATGGTACTAACTGCATCTCTAAAAACATCAGTATTGCGCTCATCAGTTTGGTCGATATACGCGTCTGTAGTGTATGTACCATGTACGACTAAAATGTCTATATCTGCTAAATTACATAGATCCGATAGGTTAAAACATGGTCGAGGGGTGAGGAATGGAATAAGGAAATAGGAATACATATGGTATGTCAAGACTAGAGAGGAAAGTATGTCGATTAGGTTAGGGGAGGGGGGTACAAGAGTATCGAGAGAATTGTTGTACCCTCTAAGAATCACCCCTACACAACCTAGAACTAAATAATATGAAACATATAATTTGACACACCCCCATAGGTGAAGTAGGGGGGATAGCCAAACCTAACAGTGGTCACAAGACCAGTCAAGCAGAAAAGCAAACAAGACAAAGCTCAGGGTGGATCTCAAGGACACCACACAGTCTGAGTACAAGCAGGTGGCCACAAGGCCAGTTCACATGCAGGTTTATAACAAAGCAAGAGATACAGTGATCACAACCTAGCAAGAGTAAACATGCAGGTATATATATATATATATATATAGTGATCACAGTACAAGCAGGGTCAAGAAGTAAGCAAGTGAGGTCCAGTAGGCACAAGGCCTAGCAGAGTGCAGAAGCGCTGATGGTCACAAGGCTGAAGCGCCTTGGTGAACACATCAGCAGTGTTGGCCTCAGTGGCCACGTAACGCAGACAAAGCTGACCGCGCTGCTGCAGCTCTCGAGCAAGGAAGTACCGCAGGGCAATGTGCTTCGTTCTGTGCTCCAGTCTGTGCTCCTCACACAAGGCAATGGCAGCCTTGTTGTCGACGTACAGCACTGGAGGAGAACGAGGCCGCTCTCCGAGGTCGGTCAGCAGGTAGGTCAGCCAGCGTAGCTCCTGGGCAGCCATGGCTGTGGCATAGATCTCAGCCTCACAACTGGAGCTGAGAACAGAAGAAGAGCGTGTGGAACGCCAAGAAACTGAGCCAGAGCCAAGGCTGAAAGTGTAACCCTGAGACGACCGCTGAGTAGCCTGATCGTCTGCCCAAGAAGCGTCTGAGTGTCCTGTGAGTACAACTCGGTCCCGCCCTCCAAGCACTAGCCCCATGCCCGACGTACTGCACAAGTAGCGCAACACCCTCTTAGCGGCATCCATGTGCTCCTTCCTGTGACGGCCAGGAGCGACATAGCGTGCAAGGATGCTAAGAGGGTATGCCAGGTCAGGTCGAGTGCAGGTCATCAGGTACATGAGGCAGCCCACAAGCTCTAGATACGGGCCACTCGGCTCTACGGACTCATCCGAAGGCAGAGCTGAGAGCGAGTGACCGGTACGCAGAGGAGTGGACTGAGGCGAGGAGTACGTGAAGCGGAAGCGCTGGAGGATCTGCTGCACCATGTGTGACTGAGTCAAGGTGATGGTGCGCCGTGCTCTGTCCCGGGTGATCCGCAAGCCAAGATAGCTTGTCAGTTCACCCAGGTCTGTGCACGTGTGTCTCCTCTGCAGCTCCGACTTCACGTGGGCGAGTGCCGCGGTGTCAGCAGTGGCAAAGACCAAGTCGTCGACGTACACGAGGATGTAGAACGGCGGCAGCGAGGTGTCTGTGCATAGAAACAGTGACGGGTCAGCAGTAGAGGGAGCGAACCCAAGAGCCGCAAGTGTCGTCCTCAGTGTGTCGTGCCACTCACGCGGTGCCTGGCGGAGACCGTAGACCGGCCGCTGGAGCCTCCACTGGGTACCAGGAGGAACCGACCCAATGAAGCCAGGAGGGCGGCGCAGCCAGATCTCCTCGTGCAGGCTGCCCTGCAAGAAAGCAGTGCTGAAGTCAAGTGAGTGAAGCTCGTAGTCGCGCTGAGCGGCTATGTGCAGCAGCACCCGAAGAGTGGTCATCTTCGGGGTGGGGGAGAAGATCTGGAAGAAGTCGACTCCCTCTCGCTGACTGAAGCCTCAAGCCACGTAGCGCGCCTTGAAGACAGGAGGAGAACCTGGTGGCCGCTTCACCCTGAAAATCCACATGCCACTGACGATGTTCGCCCCAGGTGGGGGAACCTCGTCGACGTAGGTGCCTGTGAACTTCCAGGAAGCCATCTCTGCGTCCATGGCTGTCTGCCACTGAGAGGAGTAGGGACCCGCCATCGCCTCAGCGTAAGTGCGCGGGGTCGGGATGTCTGGTGCATCCGGATCTCCCTCAGGGGCAACTAGCATGGACACGAGATGGGGCAAAGAAGCAGCAAAGCACTGGAACTCCTCCTGTCTGTCCTCAAGAACGTCCGTGCCAAGAGCACACACACCCCCGACGGACGGAGGACAGACAGACTCAGACTCAGACTCAGCAACAAGGCTAGCGGCGTAGTCTAGACGACACCGGGCAGCAAAGTCTATCAACTCAGCGACCAGAGCAGACGCAGCAGAGGACTCAAAGGTAGGGTCAGTGACAACAGTGGCGAGAAGACGGGTGACAGTGGGACTGGCAGCACGACGGGCGTCAGACTCCGGGTCAGGAAGAGTAGGCAGAGAGGACGCAGGAGGAGACGGCAGCGGGACACGCTGAGGAGCAGTGGAGGGACGCAGAGTCATGTAGTGAGTGCCAGGGACAGGAGGAGGACCAGTGCGAGCAGTACGGACAGGCGACACAGGACGAGACGCAGGCTCACGACGCTCTGCAAGACCTCCTGTGGGACCAGTGTAAGGAGAGGGACCAGGGAGAGGCGAGGCAAGCGGTAACTGTGACTGCGACTGGACAGGCGGAGGACACTCTACGGAGGGAGGAGGACAAGGAGGAGGAGCCTGACCAAGAACCTGCTGAAGAAGTGGTACGAAGTACGGTCGCGGCCGCGCAGCGTCTCCAGAACCAGCAGAGACACCAGCGGCAGGGTCCTCAGCACCAGTAGCAGCTCCAACGTCCGGGTCCTCAGCACCAGCAGCAGCTCCACCACTCGGGTCCTCAGCACCAGCAGCAGCTCCACCGCTCGGGTCCTCAGCACCAGTAGCAGCGCCACCCCCAGGGTCCGCAGCACCAGGAGCACCACTCCGAAGACTGCAGCGCCGCGTGTACCACTCTCGGATCTGCTGAATGGGGGGGAGCTCCTGGGTAGGAGGGGAAGTACTGGTACGAGCTCCAGTAGCACCTCTCCGGAGGCGGCAGTACTGTAGGTACCTCTCCTGCAGCTGCCGGGAGGAGAGGGCTCCTCCAGGTGTAGCACGCTCAGGCTCAGCACCCCCAGACTCAGCACCCCCAGACTCAGCACCCCCAGGCTCAGCACCTCCAGGCTCCGCACCTCCAGGCTCCGCACCTCCAGGCTCAGCACCCCCAGGCTCCGCACCTCCAGACTCAGCACTCCCAGGCTCAGCACCCCCAGACGCAGCACCCCCAGGCTCAGCACCCCCAGGCTCAGCACCCCTAGCAGGACGAGAGTCGACAGCTACCTCGACAGGCTCACCCGGGTCTACCTGGGACACACCTGAGGGAGCGGCACCCTGAGGGGGGAGGGGGTCTGGTACCTCAGCACCTGGAGCGAGGAAGAGAGGCGGGGGGGGGGAGCGAGGCAGTGCGGTAGGGGAAGAGGCGGTAGTAGGGGACGGACTCGTCAAAAGTGACGTCCTGAGAGGCCAGGACACGACGCGAGGTGGCGTGGTAGAACTGCCAACCAGGGGCGTCCGGGACAAAGCCAAGGAAGACACAGGGGACAGCGCGACGGGAGAGCTTGTCCGCGGACGTGTCGCGAACAAAAGCTCGGGATCCCCAGACCCGAAAACGCGACGCATCGCCAGCCTCTCCCGTCCAACGCAGGGTCGGAGAAGTCTCCGGGAGGGAGACTCGGGGCCAGAGGTTGAGCTGATGCGCAGCGTATCGGACTGCAAACGGCCACAGAAAATGGGGGGCAGCCGCATGAACCAAGGAGGTACGAGCGACCTCCATGACCAAGCCAATGCGGCGCTCAGCAACCCCATTCTGTTGTGGAGAGGCCGGAAGCGTGAACGACTGCTCAATGCCCTCCTGCTGACAGAAGGCCTCCAAGAGGCCGGAGGAAAACTCCCCACCTCTGTCAGAGTGCAGACGCAGGACAGGAAAGTCGGAGTGGAAACGCTTGCTGAGCTGGAGACGAGATCTGCGGATCCAAGGGATCAAGACATCAAGGACGTCACCCTTGGCGCGCAAGGGGAAGACCGTGGTGAAGCGCGAGAAGTCGTCAACAACAATCAGGAAGTACCTCTCCTGACCCTGTCCACGGACGCGGGCTGGGCCCCACACGTCCAAGTGGAGCGTCTGCAAAGGAGCAGTCGTCGGGGGAAAGGAGGAGGAGTGAGGAGCGGCGTGCTGCCGCCCCTCGACACAGGGAAGACAGGGAGGAGCAGGCGAGGGTGGGAGGGGAGGGAGAACCCTGGGAAGACCAGCAACAAGGTCCCGTTTGTGCATGGCCCGAAGGCGCTGCACAGACGGGTGACCAAGGCGGTGGTGCCAGAGGACAGTCTCATGCGCCAGAGAGCGACACGAGCAGGGGGCGGACAGCTGACCTGACGCAGACGCAGACGCAGACACAGCTACCTGAGGGGACTCAGTGGTCAGTGTGTACAGGTCCGACCCCGGCTCCCGAGTGAAGGTAGCCAGGTGACGGCCCGTCCGAGCACACGTGCAGTGTGTCACGCGCTCGTAGGCAGGGGTGAACTGGTGAACACCCCCGTCCTGGAGCGCACGACCCGCCACCAAGTTCGTAGAGAACGAGGGGAGGTAGAGACCAGACAGTGTGCCAGACGGGACCGCAGGACAGGGAAGAACAGTGGAGGAGGTCGCAATGACCGGACCCCCAGAGGGGTCAGCGAGGGAGACAGCAACTGGCCGAGCGAGTGGCTCAAGGGCAGTGCGGTCTCGAAAGAAACAGCGAGAAGCACCTGAGTCCAGTGTGAAGGTGTGCAGTGCCTCAGTCGACTCAGTACCAGGGGAGACAGACTCACCAGCACCTAGAGCGGCAGCCTCACCATCACCTGAGGTAGCAGACACGCGAGCACCTGGAGCTGCAGACTCATTAGCACCTAGAGCAGCAGCCTCACTGGTCAGAATGCCCGGGTCGGGCGGAACACGCAAGTACTGAGCACCCTCTCCACTAGTAAACATAGCATACATGGCAGTGAGAATAGCATCAAAGTCTAAAGCCCAGATATCAACTCCCTTCTTCTCCAGATCAAACCAGCGGGGCAGCTCATTGCCGTCAGGGAACTGAGTGCGCCAAGCGTCGTCAAGGCGCGCGAAACAGCGCGGCGTGGGGTGCGGCTTCCCACACGTCTGACCAGTGCGGTCACCAGTGCGGATGACGTACGTGCAGCTAAGGCCACCCGCCCCCCCACGCTGCGCATACCACTCACGGGCCTCCTGGAGCGACGGAGTGTGCTGCTGGCTCGGACCACCGCCAGCGCCTCCACGACCACCACCGCCGCTGCCACCTCCTCGACCACCCCCTCCCCTGCCGCTGCCACGACCACCGCCGCCCCCGCTGCCGCCCCCGCCCCTGCCACCGCCTCCGCCGCTGCCGTCACTACCCCCACTGCCGCCACTAGTCTCTCCAGCCCCTCCTCCACTCCTCCCGCCTCCCCGGCCTCCTCCTCCACCCTTGCCTCCTTTGGTCCTCCTCCTCGGAGCAGACGCGGTCCCGACCTTCTCAGCACCAAGGAGGTCGACAGCAGAAGCAGAGGCGACAGAGGGGAGAAGGGGGGAAGGGGAACACCCCTCAAAGAAGGGGGTGCGGGGCTCGCCACGAGAGGCACCTACAGCGACGATGCTCGCCTCAGCTGCAAGTAGGTCCTTCTCGAGGAGGGCAATGGTGAGCTCAGTAGGGGAGCGAGCTAGAAAGGAATCCCTGACTGTGCGCAGAGAGTCAGGGAGGCGGGTGACAATGTGGTAGAGAGTGAGCCAGAGCGGGGGGGGGTTGCTAGCAAGGAACTCGGCAGGCATAGCAGCGCGAAAGCGGGCCTCACTAGTCTTGAGGTGGGTGATGAGGTCAGCAACAGTGTGAAAGGAGGCCAGGTCGGGGAACAGGTAGGGCAGTGAGAGGCGGCCTAGTGCGGCAGACGCAGGTGAGGAGTAACGAGCAACTACGGCTGTGTACAGTTCCTTAGCAGTCTTGCACTGGCCGAAGTGCTCGCGCTCATCTAGCGGTAGGGAGTTGCGAATAGCGAAGCGAGCGTGCGCGTCACGGGTCTGCCACTGGGAGCGCAGAGTGCTGTCAGCAGTAGTGTCAGGGGCAGTAGCATGGCCTAGGGCGTGATCGTACAGTGAAATGTCCTCCTTGGCAGTGAGCTGTAGGAAGAGGTGCAGGTCATCGAGCCAGGTGTCAAACTTCACTGGGCGGCCCTCAGCATCGAAGGCTAGCACAGGAGGGCTAGCCATAGTAGCAGTAGGAGGAACAGTAGTAGTGTCAGTAGCAGTGACAGCAGCAGCAGTAGCGCGGTAGGGCAGGGCAGTGCGGCTCTAGCAGGGCAGGGCCGGGGCAGTCGTGACGGCGGCGGCAGCTGCTGAAGGCTCGGGAACGGCTGCTGCTGCAGGGACGGCGGCGGCTGCTGTGGTATTCTCGAACGGCGGCTGCTGCTGCAGGCTCGGCGGCGGCAGCTGCTGCAGGTCCGGCGGCGGCTGCTGCTGCTGGCTCGGCGACGGCAGCTGCTGCAGGGTCGGCGGCGGCCGCTGCTGTAGGTCCGGCGGCGGCTGCTGCTGTTGGTTCGGCGGCGGCAGCTGCTGCAGGGTCGGCGGCAGCTGCTGCTGCAGGGTCGGCGGCGGCCGCTGCTGTAGGTCTGGCGGCGGCTGCGACTGCAGGCTCTGCCGCGGCTGTTGCTGCAGGCTCGGCGGCGGCCGCTGCTGTAGGTCCGGCGGCGGCTGCTGCTGTAGGCTGGGCCGCGGCAGCTGCTGCAGGTCTGGCGGCGGCTGCTACTGCAGGTCCGACCGCGGCTGCTGCTGCTGGCTCGGCGGTGGCTGCTACTGCAGGTCCGGCCGCGGCTGCTGCTGTAGGCTCTGCGGCGGCAGCTGCTGAAGGTCAGCGGCGGTAGCTGCTGCAGGCCCAGCGGAGACAGCTGCTGCAGACGAGAGGGAAGGGGACCGCGACGGGTCCTGGAGGGGCCGCGAAGGGTGGCGAGGGGCGGCGATGAAGCCGCGAAGAGGCGGCAACAGAGCCGCGAAGGGGAGGGCGGCGACGGAGTCGCGTATGGGCGGCGACGAGGCCGCGTAGGGGCGACGACGAAGCCGCGTAGGGGCGGCGACGAGGTCGCGAAAGGGCGGCGACAGAGCCGCGCGGGGGGGGAGGGCGACGAGGCCGCGAAAAGGGGGGCCGCTAAGGGGCCTTAAGCGGGGGTCGCGAGGCGCCAACGAGGGGCCGCGAGAGGACCTTAAGAGAGGGGCCGCGACGGGCCGTTAGGGACAGGCGCACGGGGCGCGACTAGGGTAGGCGCGAAGCGCGCTCCGGGCAGGAAAAAAAAATTTCGCTTTCCGTGGTGGGCCCTAGGAAACTTCCTGCTCTATACCATGTCAAGACTAGAGAGGAAAGTATGTCGATTAGGTTAGGGGAGGGGGGTACAAGAGTATCGAGAGAATTGTTGTACCCTCTAAGAATCACCCCTACACAACCTAGAACTAAATAATATGAAACATATAATTTGACATGGTATTCATTGTTTTTGTACAAACGGAATAATGCGTCGGTCGATTTGGTCAGAATGCACACTTGTGTGTAGCTACAAGGCGGAGCTCGAACTCAGAAATTTCCTAAACTATGTGAATCGGAAAGGTTAAGCTAGTGTTATTGAATAGAAGGCCAATCTAGTGGACTGATAAAAATATGGTACTAACTTCAACTCTAAAAACATCAGTAATGCGCTCGTCAGTTTGGTCGGTATGCGCGCATGTAGTGCATGTACCATGTACGACTGAAATGTATATATCTGCTAAATTACATTGCTCCGATAGGTTAAAACATGGTCGAGGGGTGAGGAATGGTATAAGGAAACGGCAATATATATGGTATTCGTTGTATTTGTCTAAAGAGAATAATGCGTCGGTCGGTTTGGTCAGAATGCACACTTGTGTGTAGCTACAAGGCGGAGCTCGAACTCCGAAATCTCCCAAATTATGTGGATCGGAAAGGTTATAAGCTAGTGTTGTTGAAGTAGAAGGCCTAATCTAGTGTGGTACTAACTGCATCTCTAAAAACATCAGTAATGCGCTCGTCGGTTTGGTTGGTATGCGCGCATGTAGTGCATGTACCATGTACGACTGAAATGTCTATATCTGCTAAATTACATAGATCCGATAGGTTAAAACATGGTCGAGGGGTGAGGAATGGTATAAAAAAATGAGAATATATCTGTTAAACATTGTATTGGTACAAGGAGGATAATGCGTCGGTCGGTTTGGTCAGAATGCACACTTGTGTGTAGCTACAAGGCGGAGCTCGAACTCTGAAATCTCCCAAATTATGTGGATCGGAAAGGTTATAAGCTAGTGTTATTGAAGTAGAAGGCCTCACCTAGTGGACTGTGAAGTATATGGTACTAACTGCATCTCTAAAAACATCAGTAATGCGCTTGTCAGTTTGGTCGGTATGCGCGCATGTAGTGCATGTACCATGTACGACTGAAATGTCTATATCTGCTAAATTACATAGATCAGTTAGGTTAAACCATGGTCGAAGGGTGGGTTATCGTATAATTTAAAGGAAATGGGAATACATATGGTATTCATTGTATTTGTACAAAGAGAATAATGCGTCGGTCGGTTCGGTCAGTATGCACGCTTGTGTGTAGGTACAAGGTCACGTGGCTGGTCCTATTACCAAGCCAGCAAGGGCGTGGGAGGGTTACGAGCATCATCGATCATCGGCGCTCGCGAATGAAGAGCGCCCGCTGCACTTCCTGCACATGTGTGGATCCTTCCGCGTTTTGCGAGTGAAAGCGCTCGTTCCGAGCGTTTTTCTTCCGCCGGGTCACGTGGCTGCGCTTGTCTGGTCCTATTACCAAGCCAGCAAGGGCGTGGGAGGGTTACGAGCATCATCGGTCATCGGCGCTCGCGAATGAAGAGCGCCCGCTGCACTTCCTGCACATGTGCGGATCCTTCCGCGTTTTGGGGGTGGAAGCGCTCATTCCGAGCGTTTTTCTTCCGCCGGGTCACGTGGCTGCGCTTGTTTGGGCCTATTACCAAGTTAGCAAGGGCGTGGGAAGGTTGCGAGCATCATCGGTCATCAGCGCTCGCGAATGAAGAGCGCCCGCTGTACTCCGTGCACATGTGCGGATCCTTCCGAGTTTTGGGGCTGGAAGCGCTCTTTCCGAGCGTTTCTCTTCCGCCGTGTGACGTGACTGCGCTTTTCAAGTCCTATTGCCAAGCCAGCAAGGGCGTGGGAGGGTTGCAAGCATCATCGGTCATTGGCGCTCGCGAATGAAGAGCGCCCGCTGCACTTCCAGCACATGTGCGGATCCTTCCGCGTTTTGGGGGTGGAAGCGCTCGTTCCAAGCGTTTTTCTTCGCCGGGTCACTTGGTCGGCGCTTCTTTGGGCCTATTACCAAGTCAGCAAGGGCGTGGGAGGGTTGCGAGCATCATCGGCCATCGGCGCTCGCGAATGAAGAGCGACCGCTGCACTTCCTGCACATGTGCGGAACCTTCCGCATTGCGGGGTTGGAAGCGCTCATTCCGAGCGTTTTTCTTCCGCCGGGTCACGTGGCTGCGCTTGTCTCGGCCTGTGTGCTGTCCCGGTATAAGAAGGAAAACTCATATTGTGTATATTTACCCGCATAATGTTTTTTTCATTGTTATGGCACATCCCAAGTCGCTAGTGCATATAGGAGGTGTGATCCATGTCATTAAATTTAATAAATATTGCACCCAAATCTTTTTAGCCACATGGAATAAAGAAGATAGTGCACATATATGATATGTTTTCAGATACAATGATATTAGCATGTATGTGTATGTCTATTAGTGATCCGTGTAAAGAGCGGGGACAGAACAGCGAGGATAGTACACCTGATGCCCGTTTGACTCCCACAACTTTTTCGGTCATTTGGGTGTCTAGTGCGCAGCCCTATGTCGCCAGGTCGCCAACATTTTGCCACGGGCAAAATCGGGACTGTAGTGGGCAGGTGAAGAAATGTAACCAGCTTCTTCAAAATATCTTACGAACGGACGGATGCCAGCGTGATAAGCTGTTTGTTCAACGGCTGCGATCAAAATAGGGGCTTGTATCGAGCGTGCAACTGGCTGGTGCTACTTGCAATTGGGCAGGCCGGTCGAGCACGTGCAGCCCAAATGCGCGTGCAATGGTTGGGCATCCTGTGTACCACCTGGCTCCCTTTTCGGCGCGCATTACGCCTCCTTTCCCGCAGCCTTGAGTCATGATGACCTCCCCCCCTTCCCCCTTCCACCCCAACCCCCTCACTTTTATCCCACCCCTGTGCCCATTTCCCTCAATCCGATCCGGACCAAACCTCCAAGCTTTCTCAGGAGGCGAAGTGCCTGAGAGCTGTTGGATGAATGTAGGTCAGGTCACGCCCCCACCCCCCACCCCATCCGCTTCCGGACCGCGGCGGTAGCGTTTCACCTTCGCGGTCCCGCCGTGTCGTCTTAGGCGGTTCGTCAAGCCTGCCGATGGGGCATTTTACGCGCCTCGGCCGACATTGATGTCAGAGGGTATACGTAGGTTGGGAGGGAAAGGGAGTGGGGGAGCGAGGGGAGGGAGGGGAGGAAGGGGTGTGTGAGATTTGAGGGGTGTGCTTCTCCCCGTTTGCTCATGCGAACCAACCAGCTTGACTGCTTTCTCTCCATGCTTGCTGTTTCGCCTTGCTCAATGCTCCTTTCTTATCAGTCTCGCCTCTCAACCTCTCCTCTCAAAGAAAGCAACCTCCATCCTCAATCGAAAGCTGGGCATCTGTTGCGGTTGGCGCTACTCTCCTGCCGCACCCTCCACTTTATATCCCGATTCGCCGTCCATCATCGTGTTTCGGCTGGAGCTTTTGCTACTGTTACTGCCCTTTTTGTTAACGTCTATCGAATTCAACTCAGATTCAACGCACGCCTTGTCAGTATCGACAATTTCCGTGAACCATCCGTTCGCTAACAAGACTAGCGCAACCACCGCCGACGCCTCCTCCTTTATCGGTAGCCTGTCTCGTTAATTGTATTTCTCCCCTTCCCCTCGTCTGTTTACTTTCGCTATGGAACGCGATTCGATCGTCTCTAGAATCCACCTTGGTGACCGCAGTGCCAACAGATTTCCTTCCGGCTGATACTGTAATAAGGTAGAGCAAGGCACGCGTTGCGATATCATCAAACTCTGTCGACCGTAGTACCCTTGAAAGAGAATCCTCGCAGCCGCATTCCACACGAAGGGTTCCGAATACACAAGATCCGGCCGTAATACCCGTGACTCATGCGAGCTGCGATTCCGCTAGAATTGACCTTTACCCGAGTCCCGCTGCGCTTTTCTCGTGATTACAGCTGCAACGCTTTTTTCCCGAGATTCCGCGCCTCAGATATTTTCTCAGCCACACGCTTTGCACACCGACACAGCCAGCCTTATCATCGTCGTCATTCGAATCTCTGGCCTTGTCGTTGCATTTTTCGTTCAGTAGACTGCTGAACGTACCTTATCCGTAAATACTTCCTATCCACACAATTTTCACTTTCATACAGTCGTCGGCTGAGCTAAGTCGTAACGGCTGTGCGTTAGGTTTCTTCGGCCGGTCGTCTGCACCACTCTGCTCGCCGTCAGCCGTAGTTAGGACCGCCGCCAGAACATCCGAGGCGCGGTCGAAGATTCCCCACATCTGTGCACCCTACGACCGCCATTCGTATATAGAGCTTCCGACAAACTCCACTCTTCTCGTACATTCTTGCCTTTACCATTAGCCTGAGTGAGCTTAAGTTTGGTTGACGAAGGATTCTTGCATTTGGCGTTCCACCAACGTTCGAGCCACGAAATCCCTCGCTGAGTCACGTCACATTCACGATCACGATCACGTTCCTCCCCTCAGCATCACGTCCCCCCGCTCACTCATTCGAGCCAAACCTATCCTTCAACAGTTACTGTGCATCCGGACACATCGCCGCCATGGCCCCGCCAACGTCGCAGATGTGCGTGTCTCCGCGGCACACGGGTTGCTCCCCGTCCAGTCGTCTCTACACCCCCACGCTCTCGTCCCTTGCGAAGTCGCGCGCTCACGGCCCGTCCGAGGCGAAAGGGCAGGAGAGGATGCCCGCTGCGACGTCGCCGAATGCGTCGCCATCGTCGCCCGTGCGACGCCGAGGTACCGCCTCCCCGTTTTCGCACGGTTCGCAATACCCGTCTCCGCCAAACAGCCCCCCCGCTTCCCCGCGCCGTCTCAGCTCCCCCAGCTCCCCCCGGCGGCTCAGCCCCCCAGGTTCCCCAAACCGCCTGGGAAGCAGGTCTTATCCACCCCTCAGCTCCCCCGCTTCCCCCGGTCGAGGGGAGCGGAACGCGTCGTCTACCCGGCGCAACTCTCCGCCCAGCGGCTCCAGCGAGAGCGCAGATTCGGGGGAGAGCCTGGCCACGCGCTTGCGGCGGCAGGTGCAGGAGCAGCAGCAGCAGCGGCAGCAGCGGCGGCAGCAGCAGCAGCAGCGAAGGGCACTGGAAGAGCAGCAGAGGCGCTCGGACGAACACTCGGATTGGTCCGGCTCTCCGCGAATCACGCTCATGGCGGTGGGCAGGCAAGAGCCGTTTCTTTCGAGACGAATGGAGAAAACGGCGGAGCTGACGGCGCAACTGACGGAGCTCCGTCAGATGACGGTCGAGCTGCCGGACGAGACGGAATCTGACGATTCCAGTTCCGTCAACGACTGTGGTTCCGTGAACGAAGCGTCGTCGGGGAGCGGCGAGTGGGAGTCGGACGACGCGGACAGTTTCACCCGCGTGAAGCATCTCCGTTATAAGCTTGCTGCGAGCCCCGTATCTGTGCTGGATCTTAAGCAGCAGTTGGTGAACACTAAGAAACGAGGCGAGGAATACGATTCAGATGCAGTGACAACGACAAGCAGCGGAGAGTTGGATCCATCACTCGTATTGCGAGACTTGGTATCGAGTGACAGTAAGACTCCAACTAGGCCGTCTTCCTCCCCCTCCCAATCCTCCTCCACTTCCTCCTCCCTCTCCTCCCTCTCCTCTCTCTCACCCTTCCCGTCAACTGAAGCTACAAATCTGCTTCCTCCTCCTGCTCTTTCCTCCCTTCCTCTCCCTCCTCTTTCCTCCCCTTCCCCACCTCCCCATTCCTCCACTCTCTCTCCTCCCCCTCCGGCTCCTCCTCCTCTCTCACCGTGCCCTGCCGAATCTCTGGCTCTTCTGGACCTATCCAGCACACAGTCGGTTCTAGCTGACGTGGCAGCAAACGTGGGGCTCGCTGACGTGGCGGGGATCGAGCAGGACCTGGAGTACGTGCGCCACGTGTTGCTGCTGTCCGGGTTTGCAGGAGAATCCCTGCCTCCCCGCAGTGACATCCCATCGCTCAAACTCCCCGTGCGGCGAGAGGTGTTTGAGCAGCTTGAGAGGGAGATCACAGGAGAAAGTAGCAGCAGCAGCAGCAGCTGTCAAGACAGCGAGGCTGGCAGTCAAAGCAGCAACAGTGGCACAAGGAACACGAAGGGCTCAGAGGAGCGGCGGCAGCGCATGCTGCTGTTCGATGCAATCAATGAAGCCATCGGCCGCACACTCGCTCCGTTCCTCGACCCGCCGCAATGGGACCTTGACACGTGTCCTTCCTCCGCTGCCCGGCCAGTCTCACTCCAGAAGCTACACCCGCGGCCTGTGGGGAAAGATCTGCTGAAGAGAATCTGGGTGGAGATCCATGATTGGCCGATTCCGCCGTCACCTGACGTGTATGATGTGCTGGATGACGCAGCGAGGAGGGATATGCAGAAGGGTGTGGATCGGTGGTCGCAGGAAGAGATACGAGACTCTGAGGCTGCTACAGTGGCGTTTGATTTGGAGGAGATGATCTTAGACGCTCTTGTCGAGGCTGCTTGTAAGGAGTACAGCGAGGCGGAGAGGGATCGGGTGGAGCGGAGGCGAGTGCGCGAGCTGCAGAGGAACGCAGCTCGGGAGGAGCAGGAGAGGGAGAGGCGGAGGAGGAGCATTGGAGGGAGAGCCTGCGGGGTTGGAAGCGATGGGACTAGCAGTGGCTCAGGGAGAACTATGGCCTGGTCTGGGAGTGCAGGGAGGATGGGAAGGGCGACCACGCCACAAAGAGGAGCAGGAGGTACAAGGTCCAGTAGCAGTGAAAGGGCGGCTGGGAAGAGTGTGGGGCTGCACGGAGTGGACAGGACCCCTGCCAGGCCCACCACTCCTGTGAGGGCTGTCACGCCTGGGAGGGGTGTGAGGGTCAGTGGTGCAGCGAGGGTGGGTCAGAGACCTGTGGGAGGGGTGGTTAGTGGGGATGTTGATAGGAGGTGGAGGAACTAGTGTGGCCAAGGATCTGTTTGGGCCATACTACTGACCTTAGAATAGATACGGTAGATTGCTACTAGATGTTTGTGGAATGGAGCTGCCTCGGCTCTACACATTTATACGTACCTTACTACCATATTTAATTATGACCAAGTCGTGTTTCTTCTAGCTCATACGGTAAGCCTTTGAATTGAACCCTCCAAACACGATCACAATATCGGTTGTGATGCTGACCACAGAGAGCACAGATGACACGGTTTTTCAAGGTTTATTAGACTGAGCTGTAAAACACAGCATGCTACTGGTACATTGTGGTAGTACCGTACCTCCACTGGTTCAAGAATTTCCACACTAGGCAATTGCAGTTGCAGCTGCTGGTGCAGGGTCTGCATTCACCACCGCTAGTGCTGCCGAGGATGAAGCCTCCACCTGATCCTCATCAATAACTTCCTCTGCTTCAGACGAAGCAGCAGCAGCAGCAGAAGCAGCAGCGGCATCTGATGTAGCGCCTGTGCCACTAGAACCGGGGGGATTGTCTGAAGGGTTGTCCGAGGAATTGGGTGGGATTGCTGGAGATGCGCCGGCAGGGTCATCCAGTGCTGCAATTTGGCCAGCTAGGAGCGCATAATATGCCTCTTCCTCCCGACGCAGTTGAATCTCTGCTTCTATCATTCTCTGCTCGTCCATATCAACCAGGCTCGCAGCATACGCCTCCTGTTCCTGTATCCTTCTAATCTCCTCTTCAATTGCCCTCTGCTCCTCCTCGTTGGATAGATCTACAGCAGAGGAGGCCGCGTGATCATGCATTTCGGTTCCTGCTTCAGTTGTGGATGGCGCAGATGACGCAGGTTGCGCAGATGCATCATCCTTTCCTCCTTTTGCCTTAATTTCTGCCTCAATCGCCTTCTGATCTTCCTGTTAGGCGCGCAGGTAAGTGGGCAAAAGACAAGGGAGTTGAAGGAAAGCAGATGATGAGACACAGAAGGGCCACGGCGGGGGACAGGTGTAAGGGTAGGAGGGGGAGTTGAAGATTGACAATGAACAGCTTTACAAACAGATTATGGCCAAGGCAAGCAACTTCTTTACTGGGATTAAATGAGCTGGATACTTCTAGCCACAACGACGACCATCGACATTGCCACAGCCACAGCCACAGCCACAGCCATAGCCACAGCCACAGCCACAGCCTACATACCTCCATGTCCATCATAATCTCCTCTGCAGTGCGCCTGCCCCGGTACTCCACGGACGCTCCAGCAGTCACACAGAAGGGACAACTGGGAGGGATTGAGAGGTACATGAGAAAAAAGAATGTTAGGTCAGAACGAAGCAGTCAATGCTGTCAGAGAGGTGGAACACAGGAAGATACTCACCATTCAATGCTGTGAGTAGCAGGACCCTTCACTACAAGAAAGCATTCTGGAAAACAGAAAACAAGGGAGAAGCAAGCGTAAGAAAGTAGCCAGTAATTTCAAGACCTTCGGAGAAATTATCACACATTGCTTACCTGTGCACATCCCTTTCTTGCAACACTTCATCCAGTTCAGACTGGGATAGCCCTGAAAGCAGGTAAGGAATTGCGTTTGCGTAAACATAAATACAAGCTGAAGAGACCAAGGGACCCAGACAACGGCACCAAGACAGTTAAAAGAAATTCTGATGACAGACGAGGAGAATATTAGGCTGACAGGGCATCCATTTGAGAATAATCATTGCCTACCAGGAAGCAAATGGGACATTCATCGAGATCGTGGCTAAGCTCATCGCTCCCCACATGGCACGGAGCCAATTTCGCGTCGAGAATCAGACGTCGAAGCTCTTCCAGGTTCACGTCTCGATGGCGGTACAATCCCTGAGGCCGCGTGTACTGCTCGTCCACTGCCGCCTGTTGCTCCGCCATGCGCTAAGATTAGCGAAAGAATTTTCCAACTGATAATCGTCAATGTTAATGTCGCAAGAAAGGCGCGCGAAAGTCGCACTGAAGTCGCACGGTAGTCGCACGGAAGTCGCAGCACTTCGCTGCCTACAGCTCACGAAGCTCGAGCCATGCTCCAGGCACCTGCAAGCCTTGATCCTGCACCAACTGATTGGAAGAAGCTGAGAGGACCCCCTGCAGGGAGCGGAGAAAGAACAAGGCCTAAGATCCTGTGTTTCGCCCTGCAAGAAATGCCGCTACGCATCACGAAGAGGAAGAACAGCCTCAGGGGTAGTCCTACATCTCGGCTCAATGCTCCAAGAGCAAGCCTACGGCAAGAGGATTTCGGAGGGACCCAGAGACGGAGCAAGCATTTCCGCAGCATGGCTGCTTCCAGAATGGTGGTACGCGCTTCGCGTTCTCCGTGCATGGAGCGCGGAGTTCCCAAGGCCCGCATGGGAGCATGAAGGACGGGAATGTGGAACTGACACGGAACTGCCGTGAAATGGAAACACTGAACATGAGCATGCCAGTAAAGTGTGGTTCACTACGGTTTGGTAAGATGACTAGGCAGGATTCCCATGCCTCCCTATGATTGAACTCGTGAAGAATTATCATTATGTTATGTTGACTGGATGATGAATCTAGCTACACGCTGATATTGCCATGAGTCTCGGATTCGGCATCCAAGGCTGCTGGTGCTGGTGCTGGTCATTTCCTCGAATGCCTACCTCGGATTCTTTAGAAACTAGCCACGAGTCGTGGCCACGTGGGCACTAGTACCCTTTTCGTAGTTCTCATCCATTATCGGCTTCCTCCAAGCTCCACATCCAACGCCTAGTGACTGGCGGTACTTTCGTGGTTGAAGAACAAAAAGCAAACTCAAGTAGCGCATACGGCTGGCGCAATGGTGCTTATATCGGACATCGGAAGTTTCGAGGATAAGGTGTTTGTGGTAACGGGAGGTGCGAGCTACGCGGGCGTCAGGCTGTGCCTCGAGCTGCTGAGAAGGTACGATCCTGCTTGCCTTCCTTCATCGCAACCACACGAGTAATCGTTTAATCGCCTGCCCTTTCTGCTGAGAGTACATTGTTATATCTCACTCCGTATGTGCGCTCCTGACGAATCCAGCGCACCTCCGTGATTCGTCCGTCTTACCTCCATCTTGCCGCATTTCCCCTCCATCTCATCAGGGAGGCTCGCGAAGTTCGCTGCTTCGACTTCCCTCCCTCATCCCAACCACCTCCCCTCAAACCATCCCAAACACCGCCATCAGAACCATCCAAGCCCACTTCGTCTTCTTCCTCTCCCTCCTCTCCTTCCACATCCTCCCCAGACCCATCATCCAACCTTTCCAGTAACAACCCTCAAGCCCCATCTCCCTTCCCCCTCCACCTCTTGTCTCAAGCTACCACCCAGCAACCCACCGGCCGTTCCCGCCTCAGGGTAATCTCAGGGGACATTCGAAACCCTAACGATCTCAACCCCGCTCTTGCAGGAGCCGACTGTGTGTTCCACATTGCGTCCTTCGGAGCGTGGGGCAAAGACTCCCTTATGGAGGCACTCATTACCTCGATAAACGTGGACGGTACACTCAATCTGGTACACTGCTGCTTGAACCAAGGCGTCAAGAGCCTGGTTTACACAGGATCCACCCGAGCGGTTTTCGGAGGGCAGGCCATGGGGCACATGGGAAGCAGCGAAGGCAGAAGAGGAAGCGAGAGAAGGGACGGTTTGGCGGGAGGAAAGAGAGGAGGCCAGGGAGGAGGAAGGGAGGGTGATGGAGGGGGAGGGGTGGACGAAGCGAGCTGCGGCTATTACCCCATGGAGCAGCACACAGACAACTACGGACGGGCTGTAGGCCTGGCAGAACAGATCGTTCTCAAATCCAACATGAGGAAGCTTTCTGGAAAGGGTCGGCTGCGCACATGTGTGCTCAGGCCTGCCAAGCTCTTTGGTCCGGGCGAGCCCTCCTCGCTCCGCCGCATCATGGGTCTGGTTCGGACCGGTTTCCTGCGGTTCAGGTTGGGAGACCAGCTGTCGCGCTCTGATTGGTTGTTTGTTGATAACCTGGTGCATGCGCAGTGTCTGGCATTTGGTGGCCTTATTCCAGACGGTTCCAGCAGCGGTGCTTGCAGAGGGGGTGGCAGTGGTGGGGTGGGGGATGGAAATGGGACGGGAGAAGGGGATAGGAGTTGTGAGGATGGAAGCTGCAAGTCTGCCGGGCAGGCTTACTTCATAACTGATGGTATGGTCCTGAGCAGTACATGCATTCTGGATACATGGTTTTTAAGTGTCGGACATTTGATGCCATGTGCGCTGCTCGTTTTGTGTTTTTGCCTCTGGCATCTGCGCTGCTCACCTTTGTGGCTCATACAACTACCCTCGTCATACAAAATCTCAGCTGCTACCATACCTCCTCCCAGTCACTCCCAGTCATTCCCAGTCACACTCAGTCACTCCCAATCATTCCCTATCACTCTCGATCACTCCCGGTCACTCCTAGTCACTCCCAGTCATTCCCAGTCACTCTCAGTCACTCCAGTCACCCCCAGCTCTCTCCCATTCCCTCTCCCTCCACTTCTACCTCTCAGATGCCCCAGTGAACGCCTTTGACTTCCTCAAGCCACTCATATCAGCATTCGGGGGAACCCAGCCCTACATCCGCCTCTCGCTAACCTCTGCCCTGTCGCTTGGCTGGTTCACCGAGGCTATTTACCGGCTTCTCTGCCCGCTGTTACGGTCTGACTGGTTACCACAACCGCCTTTTCTTCTACCAGCCGAAGTTCATCAGGTTCGTGCCTGTGATCGGTTTTGTTGGCACTCCCTTGCTTCCATCCTCCCACTCCCTTGGTTCCTCGTGTAGCATTTTTGGAAAGCTTTGCAGATTTTGTTTCCCTGGTCGATTTCCTATTGCTCCTGCTGACTCAGAACTTGTCCCCTTCCTGTGGCACGCATATTTTTCATAGCACTCATCCTCTGCATCAACCACCATCCATCGTTCCCCACTGTCCACCACCTTATTCCCTCTCCTTCAGCTGGCAGTGCACCACGTGTTTTCAAGCACCAAAGCAAAAACAGACCTCGGTTACCAACCCGTAGTGGACCCCCGCCATGCCATGGATGTCACGAGGGCGTACTGGCGGCGCAGAGCTCAAAGAGAAGTTCCCAAGCCTCCACTTATTGTATGGGTTCTTGTCCCTCTTGGAATGGCTCTGCTCTACCTGTCGGCCTTCTACCCCCGGACGTCTCTCCCGCCGCCCGTGTGCTGGGTGCAAGACCTGGGTGTTTTCCTCTTCATGTCCCGAAGTATGCTGCAGACTGTGTGGTGGACGGCACTCGCCATCCATTTTACTGAGGCGAGTATTGCCTGGATGGTGGCTCGGAACTCAGGAGGGTCTGGGACGAGGAGAGCTGAGGTGGACGGGTTGGAGTGGGACGATGGGGAGGGTGGCAAAGTGGGACCGTGGAGTGAAAGGGAGAATGCACCAGAGTGGTTCGTGCAGACATTTTTGTTTGGGTTTTGGTCGCTACGGTTACTGTTGCGGCGTGTTGTCTGGAGGATGGTTGATTCTGAGCAAAATTAGCATCCATACGGGGTTTCTTAATACAATCCTGGAAGTGGAGTGGCATGTATTGGGAAGCCTTTTGTGTTCTCCAATGTGTTGGCCATTTCGAACGACATCACATCGAGTTTTTCCAGTCGATTTAAGAGCCAGAAGCTACCGTGGTATCTGTGCAACCTTGTTGAAGGCTGACTAGGTGGGAATGTGGCATGTCTTTTCGTCTTTTGTTTCTTATGTATATCTGGCCGGATATAAACGGATCCACTGTTTTGCATGCATTTCTCACTATCGCATGTTTTCCTCTCCTCGGACCCATTCTGTCCATTTGACCCCCTGTTTTGAAACGGTACAGGGAAATCCACACTGGTCGGTCGGGGTCGTCAAGTGTCTCCAGAGATGTTCTTCGTAACGCTTTGCGCAAACGACCTTGCAAGGTTGTCGTGGCTCGGCGGCTGACTTGCGGTTTCAGCTCTGCGATCAGTCGAGGTTACAAACGAATTGAAAATCTACGAACTCGCGAAAACGAACTCGTGGCGGCGACACCCTGCCAGCTGTTATGCGCAACGCAGTTACAGATAGAAATAGCCCTTCTGCTTTTCACACTTGCATTGCATCAATACAGTCAACTCCCCGCTCAACCCAAGAAGCCGAATTTCTGCTCATAAAGTCAACTGCACGTTCAGTGAACACGCCTGGGTGGGTTCTATCATCCAGCTTGCGCTTCTGGTGTGCTTGGGATTTCTCTCGGGTTTTGCGACTTCGTCACCAGGTTTGTGGCATTCTTGAAGGTGCCTAGATTGGTTCCCGCAGTTCCAGTTCCAGCTTCTGATCCACCGCAAATTGTTTGCTCGTCCTTTCAGCTGATCACTCCAACTATGTCCAGCCGATTTACAAGCTTCCAGGCCCAGAATTCTCGAGTCGTCTAGGTCAGTAATTTGCCAAATCTCGTTGTGAGGTAATCTTTCCAGAGGAGAGTTCCAGTCTCCTCAGCGTTCAGGTTTCCCATGCAGAGCCTCCGCAGCAGAAATCACACGAATTTTGCCCTTCGCAGTATTCTTCCTGGTCTTGTTTTTACTCCTCTGACCTTTTACTTTCACCTACCGAACGCGGCAAACGTTGTTTTGATTCTGCATCTCAGGATCCACACGCCGCTCCCTTATTATCAAGGCTTCGCCTAATCGCGGCACGCCATGTGGTACGAAGCTGACCTGGTGGAACCAGACGGATTACACCGGCGCGAAATGGGTGACTTACGCGCCCAGCCCAACAGTTGGGTGCATCAATATCCCCTCGCAATACCTCCCATCCACTGTGTTTGGATCCCTCAAACTTGAGTGGTACGCACCAACGGACGCCATGAAACGCGACATGTACTTCGTCACATGCAAGGAGGTGAGAGCAGCGATGTTACGTCCGTAGCAGCAATGTGCAGACGAGATTGCGCAATGATCCTTGGTTTTGAATGTCGGTTGTTTGTTTGTCCTTTATGTTCGCTGGAACTGCAGGTGCACTTCTGGCCAACGAGGAACTGCGAGATTGGTAACACAGACTACCTCACATATCCTACTGACCACAGCCCGCCTTCGCCAACCAAGCGCCCGTAAGCACCTCATCCCTCCCCTTCCTTGGGTATCGAGAGTTGCCTGGAGGATAATTCAGAGAGCTTGGAAGCCCATATTAGCATTGCGTACTAAGGCTAACTGATAGATTCTGCCAACCGGACCTGGTTTTGTTTTTGCAGGAAATTCCCCAGAGCCCCGTCTCGGGCGCATTCCATCAGCTGCATCTACAGTACGTTGCAGCATTCCAACATCTCCCTGTGCTTTTAGTTTCCGTAGGGGCTCTTGGAGAAGTCTAAGCTTCTGCCCACCTTGCAGAACTGAACTGCACCACATGGTTATCATGCTATCTCGTAACTGGCTGTCTCAATGCAGGCCAGGACCTGAACAAGCTGTACTCGTGTCCACCTAACAGCACACTGGATGGCACGTGGGCTGGCGCCAAGTGCTGGTGCAATGCAGGATTCGTGGAGAAGGGCGGCAAGTGCGTTGGTACGTTTTCATCGTCAGCACCCTTCTAGACTACCCAGAGCTCCCAGATTTTGCCTGCAGACCGCAGTCTTATTCGCTAGAGCTGTGGAGCTTGTGGCCTTTGTGTGTCAACGTGTCCTCAATCATTTCCCAAAGCATAGCAATATCTGATGATATTCCACCCCAACTCTCCTGCCTGCTACCCCTGACACATATTGTATTTGCCTCTCTTCTCCCAGACGTTTGCACGCCTCTTAACTGCGGACCCTATGCCAACTGCTACATTAAGAACGGAGCTGGGGTGTGTAACTGCACTGATGGTTACCGCCGCGTGGGAGGAAAGTGCGAGGCTATTGGCCATTCTGATTTCCTTGATCCCCACAATGCTGCACGTTCTGCTCTGAAGTTACCCGCTCTCAAATGGAACGATTCGTGTAAGTGCAGAGTCTACTTTCTGTCCACTCTTGCCCTTTATCTTCCGCTTGGTTGCTATTACTGTAAACCTACTTCGCTTCTTTTGTCTTAAAAACTGCTGTTTTCTTCACTGGCCCTTTTGCAGTGGCAGAGAAAGCCCAGGCATGGGTTGCACACTTGGGAAAGCTTGACAATAAGTGCAGGACAATGAATCGCTCTTCTGCACTTTCCAGCTATGGTCAGAACTTGTTGAGCACCTTTGGAATAGGGCAGTGGGCTCCCAACGAGGTGGTGAACGTGTGGCTGGATGAGAAGAAGTTTTACACGTACTCTCCTTTACCGAGTGGATGCAAAACGGGACACTTCTGCTCCCACTACGCTCAAGTACGAATCCTTCCTTTCCGATTTTTTTGCAGTTCCTTATATCGTATTTCCATTCCTAAGTGTGCACTCGCCTTCTGGTTGTGTCAGATTGTTGCCAGGAAGACAACGGATGTTGGCTGCAGTTCGTATACGTGTGGAAAATCAGGCTCCATGCTGTGGGCTTGTTTCTATTTGCCCAAGGGTCTAGAGAACAAGAAGTATCCTTATTAGGCACACTAAATGTGATGGATTTGAGTATGCAAATGTAGTAATGGATGTGAACGTAACATTGAATTTGTATCACGAGTGTACTTTCAGTCACACGATTTTCGCATTTCTTTGAACCGTTTGCGAAAGTGGATTCAATAATTTGTTTGGTAACCACCACACCACCCGATCCTGCGACCCTGACGCACCTGTGCTGGCGCCATGTGGTGGACGCCGATCGCGCCGCAGGTTTCGTCAGGGTGCAATGCGGAAGACCAGGCCCCCTTTGGCGCGGATTGAACGAGGGCGCGAAATGAAAGCTCTCCCCGCTGACGACGCAGCTCCCTGATGTTGATTTCGCAAATATTTCCGCGTGTAACAGAAAGGTATTGACCAATGAGAACGGGTTGCGATTGGAACTCTGGCTGCCTGTGGTCAGCAACTGAGTGCGTATGGGCTTCGTTCGGAAACTTCGAACCTGCCCAACGCCCAAGGGGATGGGGTATGGAACAGCAGCACCCAGCCCAGCGAGGCTACAAATTGTCAGAATGGGGGAACGGTTGATTTGACGACTGCAAACAGAGTGCGTTAGAGACTTTGACTAGTCGCTAATTTCCGTTTTCTTCTGCCATTGTTGTACGGTGTCGTCGTCCAACCCCTTCAGCCGAGGAGCATACCTCGCCTTCGTGAAAAGCTTCTATTTCTTTCATCGACCGTCCCCTCACGTTGAATAAATTTTATTCACGTCAGCGTCAAGCTTCTCTTGACTTTTTTGGATCATAGTTGCACGAGAGTTGTTGCTGCTTGAGTTCTTTCCGGAGGGATTCGTCGCCAGACATAAGAGATAACGAAAGCCAAGGTAAGGGATACTCTGGATGGGTTTCGCTGTGGAATATCGTACAAGCAAAGGCGGGGGCCATTGTGAATCATGTGTCAACACACGCCGGAATGGCGATTGAAGATCACCTTCAAAGAGAATCGCAAACGCCTCTTGAATGCAGAGTTCCCTTACCTCTTTCAAAACATACGAGTATCACACCATGGCGAACATATCACCGTTGTGCAGTATTTCCGCACATGGACTTTTGGTTCCTGTCTTATACCTAACACCAACTGGTCTTCCCTCTCCTCCTTTTATCATACCACATCCACCCTCAGCCGCAAATATGGGCCCCCAGGGACCAGAGTCAGCAGATAGCGTCCTCCCCGCGACCACCGAGCTCTCTGCTCCTCCGCCTGACATTTCCCCCGGCGCTGCGAACAAGAAGAAGCGTCGGCTCAAGGTGAAACTTCCGGCAATCAAGGACGTGCCATGGAAGAAGTTGTTCTTAAATGCGATGGAATGGATCACCAACCCTATCAACGCCGCGTCCTTCTTCTGGTGTGTCCTCGCGACGTTCGCCTTCGTCATAGTCGTCATGTGCGAGCTCGGCTTGATGAAGAATTACATTCATGAGGAGGAGACGCTGGAAGAAGTGAAGGAGGTTTCCACTCAGATCCTGAACGCTCTCTTCGTGCTTATGTGTCTCATCTGGCATCCGGTCTTCATGCGCGACGTGCTGCTGCTCATCCGGTGGAAACCCAAGGATAAGTGGGAGATTCGCGCCGAGTACTGCAAGGACGGGAAGCGGAAACCCAACGATCGCACGCACATGGCGATCGTCGTTTTCTGGCTGCAGCTGACGTGCTGGGCGACGTACGCCTTCGCAGCGGTCTTCCTGATCTACCCTATGGGCGAGCGACCCATGAGCCTGATTCTCATTACCACCGTCGTTTCCTTCGCGGCACCCGCGTTCGCCTTTCTCCATCTGCTCCTGAGCCCCCTGAGCAAGGACTATGACATTGTACGGGTTGGAGAGGGCGACGGGGCCAAGGTGCAGATGTTTCAAAGGAGTGCAACGTTCATGGTGTCTCACACCAAGGTGGAGGACGCGCAATGGGCTGGGTCGGTAATCCCTGGGTGCTGCGACGACTCGCGCGTCGCGTGCCTGACCTGCTTCTTCCCCTGCTGCATGTTTGGGTACAACATGGAGAGGCTTGGGTTTGGCCATCGGGTCGTCCACACGATGATGTTCATTATCATGCTCCTTGGGCCTCTGTGTATTTTCGAGCTCTGCGCGGTTGCCGTTAAAGGGGAGGTGTCCAAAGACGTAATCTTTTACTTAGGCCTTGCAATTGCCTTCACCGGGCTTGCTTACGGTGGTGCATGGCGAGTGAAGATCAGGGAGACTTACAATCTCCCCGGAACCCGCTGGTGGTGCGGGAGCAAGCGCCTGACAGATATTTGCACCTGGATGTGGTGCTGCTGGTGTGCACTGTGCCAGGAGGTGCGGACCACTGATCAGTATCAGGTGGCTGAGAACTCGTTTTATAGACGAGCAGGGGATATTGAGAGTGGGTCTGGCGCCCCAGCACCTTCTGGGGCGCTGGAAACTGTTCCTGATGCCGAGGAGGAAGTGGAGGAAGACGAGGACGAGGATGATGAATTGGATGCTCCTGCCAGTCAGACAATGCAGAAGTAAAAGTAGACGGGCAAGGGCAGGTGGTACCAGGGATTTCTGCTGCCTTGTTTTCTAATTAATCACTTTGTAGAACCAGGGATTTTGCTCCAGTGTATCATGTATCTCATGAATTTCCTTTACTGTTATTTTTGTTGGATTGTACATGTAGATCACTTCCAATCTAGAGAGTTCTCTTGAAGTGGTAGTATTGTCACTGTATCACTGAACTTCATAGTATTTGAGTTGAACATAAGAGAATGTACGGCAACACACTCAATGAACATGCAAAATCATTGTTTCGTTACAAGCGGAAACGTTTCTGAAAGCAAGGTAGCTCTGCCAACTCGCGTCAGGTTTGATGAAAAGCTGCGGCCGTAGATTCAGGCGACTTTGCCTAGCTTCTATGCTGCTGTGCTGACTTTGTTCCGACTGCTGTGCTGCTACCACGATCCCTGCTTGATATTCTCTAGCAGCATCCATAGCTTCCTTTTCGTCCTTGTGAAGAGCTGTGTTCGAGGATTCCGAAGAATTAGGTATTCAAATGGGGGTTGACTATTACGACTTATTAGAAGTCCAAAAATCCGCAAGTGATGACGACTTGAAGAAAGCGTATCGGAAGCTTGCTATGAAATGGCACCCGGACAAGAATCCGGACAACAAGAAAGCAGCGGAGGCTAAATTCAAGCAAATCTCGGAGGCGTACGAGGTACACCCTTTGCCTAGCACTTGATATTTTACCGTTGTAACTTTCCGATTCACCCTCAACCTACAGAACCTGTCACGTGCAGGTATTAAGTGATCCCGAGAAGCGTCAAGTCTACGACCAATACGGCGAGGAGGGTTTGAAAGGGCAGGCTGCGCCAGGAGGGGGTTCGTACAGCAGCCATGGGGGTCACTCCCATGGCAACTTCCGTTTCAACCCACGAAGCGCTGAGGACATATTCGCGGAGGTATTCGGCGGACACAGTCCGTTTGGAGGGGCTTACGGACCCGGATTTGGAGGGATGGGTGGCATGGGTGGTATGCCAAGCGGCCGCTTCAGTCGCATGGGGAGCGCCAACGGTATGGGGGAATCGATGCAGTACCAGGATATGTTCGACCATGGCATATACGGCTCTCAGGCGTCATCAGCTTCTGCTGGTCCCAGAAAAGCCGCACCTGTGGAAAACAAGCTTCCATGTACGCTAGAGGAGCTGTATTCTGGATCTTGCAGGAAAATGAAGATCTCACGCAACATCATAGATGCAAACGGGTAGGTATGCCTGCCGTATTTTCAGTGACACACTCATTCCTCACATCTTCCTCAGGAAACCTCTTGTCCCTACTTTCCCTGCTTATTTTTTCCCCGTTCTCTGCCTTCTTCTACCGGTTTCTTCATATTCCGTTCTGGTCTTCACGCCCTTTACCCATGCACCTCTTTAACCTGACGTGATTGCTTGTGCAGACGACCAAAAACGGTGGACGAGATATTGACAATCAATGTGAAGCCTGGCTGGAAGAAGGGAACAAAGGTCACGTTTGAAGAAAAGGGTAATGAGCAGCCTGGAATGATTCCTGCAGACATTACCTTTGTGATTGACGAAAAGCCTCATGACAGGTTCACGCGAGACGGGAACGACCTTGTTTACACGTGCAAAGTCCCCCTTGTGGATGCACTCACTGGCTACACGGTTAACATCACATCACTTGATGGCCGGAAGCTTTCCTTCCAAGTGAATGACATTGTCAAGCCAGGGTTTGAAAAGGTGGTGGCTGGAGAGGGCATGCCAACCAAGGGGACCAAGGGTAACCTGAGAGTCAAGTTTGAAGTGCAGTATCCGTCCCGGTTGACAGCAGACCAGAAGACAGCGATCAGACAGGCTTTTGGGAAGAGCTGACCATGTATGGTAAGTGACAGCTTGAAGCTTGTTTTTGGTAGAAGTTGACCACTTTTGAGTTCTGCACATTGTATTCCACCAGTTGGTTGACCCGCTGTTGTTTATGTCTCTAGCCGCCCTTGTTATGCACTGTTGTTGATGTGCACATTCTGTGTGTGTGCTGCCACCAACCCACATGCTTGCAGGTTATCAAAATACACATCCCCCCATCCTTTTGGCAATGCCCCTATAGCGTATCCAGTCCGAGACATTCTGGAGTAGCTTGGGAATCTCGTCGTGACCATTGGCTCATGCACTTTCAAGCCTAGCTTGACACATGCTGTAATTCCTTACTGTACTCGCACTTTACCGTAGCGAGTACATCACGAAGGTCATGCGACGAACCTGTTCGGCCTATTTCGTTGCACCGAACCACTCCCGAGTCGCCTCCACTCCATTCGCAACCATCACCGAGCCATCTTCGCCCGACATCTCCGCCTAGCTAGGATTTCCCCTATTTAGTCATGCCATTCTCATTGTATCATCATTCAGTAGTTAAATATTCTCTTCATTCGTTTTACTGCGCACTCTGCAAGTTCATTCATAAGACATGCCTTAGTGAGCCAGTGAAACAACAATTGAATCCTCAAAAGCAACCTGTGCACTTGGCCATGGTGAATGTTACCAAAATACGGGAGAACGGATGGTTGCCATAATCAGTGCCCTAGATATCAGACTTTAAAGTCTGATTCAGAGTCCGTTCATACTTTTTTTTTTGTACCTAGTCTGAAGTCTAAGATTTTTTTTATGTACCTTGTCTGATTTTTCAGAGGTTTTTTTTATGAGTTGTCTGAAATTTCAGCCTAGTTTTTTAAGTGTAGGCTGAGCCTCAGACTGTCAGAATATTATGCTCTAGCCTGTAGTGGGGTGCTCTGTAGCGAGTACAACCCTTCTAGGGTTTGCTATTTGTATCCCCATTCTTGCTAGTTCATTCCTCTTTTGCCTATTACTCTCGACATGCTATCAGAGCAGGACGATCCAGATGGGTCGATCCTGTGGGTGGGCCCCACCACCTCAGTCTTCCGCTGCTCCTACTACGGATTTTTCATCCCGCCGCGCGCTCGGGGCGTGCGGCGGTTTTCTACCCGCCGTGCGCCCCGGACGCGCGGCGGTTTCCTGTCCGCCGTGTGCTCCGAGGCGCGCGGCGGTTTCCTACCGTGGGGGACCCCCGCGCGCCCCCGATTTCCCGTCGCCCGCGGCCCCACGTTCCCGTCGCCCGCGGCCCCGCTTTCCCGTCGCCCGCGGCCCCTCGGTCCCGTCGCCCGCGGCCCCCCGATCCCGTCGCCCGCGGCCCCGCTTTCCCGTCGCCCGCGGCCCCTCGGTCCCGTCGCCCGCGGCCCCCCGATCCCGTCGCCCGCGGCCCCGCTTTCCCGTCGCCCGCGGCCCCTCGGTTCCGCCCCCCCCCCCCCCCCCCCCCCCCCCCCCCCCCCCCCCCCCCCCCCCCCCCCCCCCCCCCCCCCCCCCCCCCGATTCCCGTCGCGGCGCCCTAAGGAGCCGCGCGCGGCCCCTCGCTGCCCCGTGGTGGCGTCCTGGGGGCCGCGCGCCGTCCCCCTCGCCGTCCCCCGCGCTCCTTCCCCCGTTCCGCCCGTTTTAGGGTTTGGGGGTGAAGAGTGTGGGGGTGGCGGCTATGGGGGTGTCGGTTGTGAGTTCCTCCCCCTGCTCCTCCTCCTCCCTCGTCTCCCTCTGCTACAGCTGCCGCTGAGGGGGGTGGTGTGTGGGAGCCTAGGGTTTGGGGTTTAAGGGGGGTACCGTCGGAGTGGAGCTAGGGTTTGAAGCAGGGGGTGTGTGTCGAGGGGTGTGGGACAGTTGGAGGAGGTTGAGCGGAGGTTGCCGTCGTGTCGTACGCAGCGCCTGTACTCCGGGGCACTCATTCCCGGTAGCTCAGAGAGCCGGTTGCGCCGTCGCCTGTGGGTCCGTTGCTCCTGCCGTGCATATTAGCCGCGGAGCCTGTTACTCCTGTACTCCGGGGCACTCATTCCCGGTAGCCACGTTGTCGCACCAGAGCCGTCTGTTGCCCGTGTGTCTGCAGCTTCAGTCGTCGCCTCCTATCTACTCTCCTCTCGCCAGCCCTCCTCCTCCTCACTTGACCCCTTGTGACTGCCTCTAGCTTTGCTCATAATTGTGAACCTTAAACTATTGCTTCTTGCTTGTGCTCAGAATGTGTGGTGACATCGTGATCCACCCTGAGCTTGTACTGCTTTGTTTCCTCTGCTGATTACACCCCACTTTGGCTATGGGGGTGTGTCAGAATATTATGCTCTAGCCTGTAGTGGGGTGCTCTGTAGCGAGTACAACCCTTCTAGGGTTTGCTATTTGTATCCCCATTCTTGCTAGTTCATTCCTCTTTTGCCTATTACTCTCGACACAGACTTGTATCGAGGATACACTCTGCGCGCTTATCGAAGCGAAGTTTCCTTTCAATATGCCCACTTCCGAGATGGCAGTGGAGTGCCAGAACGTGGAAATAATCACGCGACGCGACGATTTTCAACTTTCGCTCAATCCTGTGGACTAGCCACGCGCCGCCCTCCCCAATTTTGAATATCTATCAATCCCATGGACTGCTACATGCGCTTTCGCGGTATTTTTACACTTACTCTGGACAGAGTGTTGAGGCTGTTTGGCTGGAAGTTACATTATCAAACAGGCATGGTTTACCCCAACCCCCCCTGTTTGTGTTAAATTTTTGGAGTACTAGGTGTCAAAGTTATATTGTTATAACTGCATGTAGTTGTAGCTTAGTGTAGCATTACATTTAACTGTTGGTGGTATACCTTGCGTCTCTCCTATTTGTACCCTTTGCTCAATAGTGAAACCCCTTCCTTTTCTCGACAATCTTCTCCTTACCCTCCTTGCCTAGGCTTCTAAGCCTAGGCATCCTAAACCTAAGTTACTCCTAAGTTACTCCTTATTCTAACATGCTATCAGAGCTAGTCCCAGTCTAAGGACCTCGATCTCTTCTAAGGAACATGGGCCCGCCCTTGTCTCAGCGCGAAATGCGCATTTTTTTTTTCTGTCTCGTCGACCCGCGGCCCCCGCGTCGCCCCGCGCCGTTTCCTCGCCACGCGACCCGTTCCCGTCGCCCGCGGCCCCCCCGTTCCCGTCGCCCGCGGCCCCCCCGTTCCCGTCGCCCGCGGCCCCCCGTTCCCGTCGCCCGCGGCCCCCCGTTCCCGTCGCCCGCGGCCCCCCCGTTCCCGTCGCCCGCGGCCCCCCGTTCCCGTCGCCCGCGGCCCCCCGCTCCCGTCGCCCGCGGCCCCCCCGTTCCCGTCGCCCGCGGCCCCCCGTTCCCGTCGCCCGCGGCCCCCCGTTCCCGTCGCCCGCGGCCCCCCGTTCCCGTCGCCCGCGGCCCCCCGTTCCCGTCGCCCGCGGCCCCCCGTTCCCGTCGCCCGCGGCCCCCCGTTCCCGTCGCCCGCGACCCTCCGTTCCCGTCGCCCGCAGCCCGTCCAGCGCCTCGCCATGCGCCTGCGCGGACGCTAGCGACGAGCGCCAGCGCCACGGCTAGCCGCGAGCGCCAGCGCCAGCGCCAACGTCTACGCCAGCGCCAGGCGCCAGCGATAGCGCCAGCAGCAGCTACCGTCGCCCCCCCCACCCGCCCTTCCTTCCGCGACTTCCGTCGTGGGGAGGGGGGGAGGGGGAGACGTGGGGTGGCGGGTGTGAATCACCAGCAGGCTGTCCCTCCCTTCCCTCTTCCTCTCTCCCTGCAGCACTTGGTGCTGCAGGGGGGGGGGAGAGCAGTTGAGGGGGGATGGGAGTAATCTGCTTTATTTCTCTCTCGTTCTTCTCCCTCTCTCTTCCGCTGCATCACTTCTCGCTACTCCTCCTTGTATCCGTCGTATCTAATCGCCTCCCGCGTGGAAACAGCAGCCACGCATCTGCAGATGCCGCCCACTGCTACCGTGGCACCTACAGCTGCAGCCCCTGACGCCTCGTTCGTCTTCTTTGCTGTTGAGCTGCAAACTAGATGCGCCACAGCACTTTGTCTCCTTTCTCCGTTCGTCTTCTTTGCTGTTGAGCTGCAAACTAGATGCGCCACAGCACTTTGTCTCCTTTCTCCGTTCGTCTTCTTTGCTGTTGAGCTGCAAACTAGATGCGCCACAGCATTTTGTCTCCTTTCTCTCTTTCTTGCCTTATGACTTGCTGCAGCTGTCTCTGCCACCACTGCACTGGTTGTCATTGCTCTTGCGTGCTACTGCTTGGTGTACCCCCGCAGGTTGTGTTTTGCAATTGGCTATAACTGCATGCAGTTAAGGGGGGATGTCAAAGTTATATTGTTATAACTGCATGTAGTTGTAGCTTAGTGTAGCATTACATTTAACTGTTGGTGGTATACCTTGCGTCTCTCCTATTTGTACCCTTTGCTCAATAGTGAAACCCCTTCCTTTTCTCGACAATCTTCTCCTTACCCTCCTTGCCTGGGCTTCTAAGCATAGGCATCCTAAACCTAAGTTACTCCTAAGTTACTCCTTATTCTAACACTAGGTTATGCAGTGCCGTCGATGTTATTTTTTGGAGTATATATTGCACTGCCTGAGTAACAATCGAGTCAGCAAGCTGACCGCGGGCAAGAAAAAAACTAAAACCCATTCGGGTGGCATGCCATCCGAGGGAGCCTCAACCCTAAAATTTTAGGGTTGAGGCTCCCGAATGGCATGCCGTAAGCCATGAGGTTTATAATTTTTGCCCGCGGTCAGAATACTTGCGGCTGCAACTGCTCCACGTAAAAAATCTTCCGACATCGTGCCACTGTCCATGGATCATGGATGTAGACGCGCAAAAAGACAACCACACTGGGTTTGCAATCATAGCAGCGGGATTGCGTCAGATAAGATTTCTCGCAAAAGCGCGGCTTGCTAGGGACCCTAAACTCGAAAACAACAAATACGCAGGACAACAGTTCTGTGTTAGCGGGTGTAGAAAGTCCATGGGATTGATAGATATTAAATGACGTGGAGGGCGGCGCGAGGCTAGTCCACAGGATTGAGCGAAAGTTGAAAATCGTCGCGTCGCGTGATTATTTCCAGAACGTGAGCAACGCACACTTCAACAGCTGGGACATCGTTCGTCGAGAAGATCTTCCCGTTACGCTGAGGAATAGGTTGCGTGATTACGGGATTTTTAAGAAAAAAACATCGTCACATGTAAGTTACCGCTAATTTATTGTACAGAATAGGAGACTTCGATGGTGATTAGCTGACAAAACATCAGCAGCACGCACTGTTTTGAAATTGCGAGGGTCCTGAATCTGATTTGAAATTTCGTGGTAGAAGTTTCATGTGAAAGTTTCGTGTACTTGATGCTCACTTGACAGCTCAGCTGCGTGGCAGATCGGGTGACCGATCGCATCGCTAGATACGCAAATCCATTGACAAAATTGGCACACAGGCGAGAAAATGGGTACAGAACGGTAATCACACACACGACAAAACGAAATGAGATCAGCAGAAACAACCGTCCGCTGCACGTGACAAAAACACCAGAATGCCGCCGACATGAGCAGTGGAGCACGTTGCCTGATGCGTTGGTAGGCTGTAATCAGCTCCAGTGCTATTATAACAATGCTTTTACGAAACTAAATGAACATCTTAAAAAATGAAAGTAACTCTGACAGTTCAGACAAAAAATGTTGTGCTAGTCTGAATTTCCAGACTAAAAAAAATAGGTAACTCTGACAGCCAGACTAGGAAGAGGGGTGTACTCTGAGGCGTCAGACTACCTCAAAACGAATCTAGGGGCCTGGCCATAATCCTGCCATGTTTATGTGGCAAGAAATTCATTTTGACCCTAAAGGATAGGGGCCTATACAATAGTAGGTACGGTATGGGGGTCTACACTGCGACATGTTGCAACGAAGATAGATCAGCCAGATAATTTACATAGCTCCCAAAGAAAAGCCACAATGGGGCACATTTTACTCGGGCAGGAAGTCAGATTTACGTAACAAGCTATGAAGACCTTTGCAGGACATCATTTCTTCTGCCTTGAGAAAAGGTAGTGCGAGCAGTGCCAGATCCAACCAGAGGCTCCTCCTCGTCCTCAGACACCCTGTAGTGTGAGACGGAAAACATTAAGCATCATCAGGATGTATTTCAAACCGGTGGGATTGGACAAGCTGGAACATGCAGCTGCAGGCATGCCAGCAACACACTGCCTGAAACCAAAAGCAGCATAATACAATCCCATGCGCAGCTAAATGCGTTCCCCATGGATGTCACAATGCATTTAGCGGCACCAAAGGCATGATGCAGACAAAAAGCCCACCTGGGTTCAGAGCTCTCTTCTCCTCGGTTCCAGAGAGCACTGAGCTCCCCTCTCCGCCACGCCAACAGCACAATCACCCCTGCCAGGCCAGGCCACAGGAACAATGGTGTCAGCATGGCCGGTGCTGACACAGACTGCACGCAGTTACAGACCACAACTGACTACAGCATGTGGAGTGAAGCTGAATGAGAGTTTCAACACAGATGAAAGCAGTCAAAGTCAAAATGGGGGGGTGGGCGGACACGGGCTTTAACAAACGGAGAAGAAGGAAGAGGAGGAATTACCAAGAGTGCAAGGAACAAGGTAAAGCAGTGCTGGCTGTCCGTTGCCGCTCATCAAAAGCAGCCCCACAAACGTGAGCAGCAGGCCTGCCATGCAATGAGCAGCGGGAGCAGAGATGAGGTGCGCAACAAGCATGCAATGCAATAAGCAGAGCGCAGAGAAGTGCGATGAGATAAAGCAGGCAGCAAGAAGGACGCGGCAGGGCATGCTAGAGCAGAACACAGACCACGATGTGCTTGAGTGCACGACATGCATCATGAATGTACGACACGCAACATCAATGCACAGTATGCATGGCAAACGTAAGCTACAATGAAAGCTTGCCACTCCCCAAGCAAAAATTTGAGAAAGGCAGTACCGTACCCACTGCATAGCCGATAATTGCAGGCAGGTAATACCCGTCCATGCCCATCTTCTTGGTAATGCAGTCATATCTGATGCATTCGGAAGACAACAAGACACATTGGAGAAGGAATTGAGAGTTTTAACAAAATTCTCACAAAGAAGTCAACGGCCATCCATGCCCATCTTCTTGGCGATGCATTCATATCTGATGCGCTCACACTCAAACAAGATGCACAGGGGGGAGGGGGACAGCCAAAGCTAAGACCACAGCTGACAACAATGCAAGTGCACTAACTCCAATTCAACGAGTCAAATTGCCTGGAAGAGTACGCAACAAGTCACCACAACGAGTCACCTTCTGGTGAAGATGACGAGCAGGCCTGGCAGCACGATGTGTCCAGAGCCCAGCACGGAGCATCCCTCCCAGGGATCCGTTACGTGCGGCACCTTGAGCTGTGAGAGGATCTTTTATGCGCCTAAGAAAATGAAAACCACAATCTACCTTCTTGTGAAGACAATGAGCAGGCCTGGCAGCACGACGTAGCCAAAGCCCAGCACAGAGTAACTTGAGCAGTAATATATGATTTTGGAGGTGCCTTGAAAGTGAAGGCAAGAAGCTCACCTTCTGGTGAAGACAATGAGCAGGCCCGGCAGCACGACGTCTCCAAAGCCCAGCACGGAGTAACCCCCCCATGGGTCCGTTATGTGAGGCACCTTGAGCAGCATGGGTATGCCCTCTCCCCCGGTGCGCTCCCCTGTTGCCACCTGGGATCACAGGATTGGAGGGATGAAAAATGTGATTCGTAAGAGAGAATGAGACAGAAACAAACAAGATATCCTGGATGACAAAAAGAGATGTGCGGTGCAGGTGCACTGACCTCAATCATGACGCTCTTTCCATTGAAGAATAGCGGCGAGATGAAGACCCAGAAGATGTCGTAGAAGAAAGCAAGGGAGAGCAGCACTGTGGACACCTGGTGCGAGGAGAGCGGCATGGTGGGCCAGGGAGAGACAAGATTGAAGGAACAGCAAGTGAAAGTGGTTACAGGACATGAAAGACCCAGAAGATGTTGTTAAGTTTTTTGGCGCCTCCAAACTAGACTTCTCTCACTCGATATATGTGTAGATAGGAAAGATATGGGACATGAAGACCCAGACGATGTTGTTAAAGAAAGCAAGGAAGAGCACCATTGTGGACACCTGGTGGCATGGTGGGTCAGTGAGAGACAAGATTAGTGGCACTGAAAGTGAAAGTGGTAAGGAAAGACATGAGGGATGAAAACCCAGATGATGCTTTGGAAGAAAGCAAAGGAGAAGGAGAAGAGCACCGTGGACACCTGCTGAGAGGGGAGAAACAGGCTGAGAGACACGATGAGGAGAGAAAATGGAAAGACAAAGAACAAGCCCACGCATGACCCATGGCAGTGGACAAGGGTGGGGGTGCAATGGAGCTATCGAGGACATGAGGGCGTGAGAGTGCGAGTGTGCAAAAGTACAAGGACCAGGGGAGTTTTTGAGAATTCTCAAAAACACCCTTCAGCATCGTGAGAGTGCGAGTGTGCGAAGGTGCAAGGGCCGGGGGACTGACCTTGATGTTGGGCAGTCGCACTGCCTGCAGCACAGTGATCATCAGCGCTATGCCCTGCCGGGGGAAGGAGGGACGGGGAGGGAGGGACGGGGAAGGAGGGACGGGGAGGGAGGGACGGGGAAGGAGGGACGGGGAGGGAGGGAGGAGTGTGTGGTTGGATGCAAGGGGGAGGCGAGGGAAGGCGGGGTGTGGAGTGGAGTGACGACAGTCGTACCCCACCTCGTTTTATCTAAGGAGCCTCAAATGAAAACTCGCCTTAGAAGGAATCAGGTAGGAGCACTACCAAGACAGCAGAACCCCTTTTGCCCTTCCCCCTTCTCTCCCCCCCCCCCACCCCCCCTCCCAACCCCCTTCACTTCCTTGTCTAGCTCATCCCAGGGTATCCTGCTTCCCCCTGATTCTATTTCCTTGCCCATACCAGGATATCCTGTGCAACCCATGCGTCTGGGTGGTTGCGGAAGATGGCCCAGGTGATGGTGAGGGCGAGGGAGAGCAGGAAGGAGGAGAGGGAGAGCCACGAGACGAAGCCGAGGAGGGGGAGAGTGATGCCGTGAGGCGATTGCAGTGGGAAGAGCCTGGAGGGAGGGAGAGGGAGAGAGATGAGGATGTGGGGAGTGAGGAGGCAGAGCGAGCAGAGGAGGAGTGAGGAAGAGTAAACAGCGGAGATGATTGAAAATAGAACAAACAACTAAGCGAGGAAAAAGCTTACGAAAAGCGAGCAGCGTGGGAGCGAGGGGAGTGGGAGGGAGAAGGATGAGAGTTGCAGGGGGAGGTAGGGCAAATTAGGGTGGGATAGGGGGCATGAGGAGCAGAAAAGAGGAGGGAGCATGTGAGAGAGTGACTGACCTGTGGAGGAGCGAGGAGAGGCACACATGGAGCGACTGTATTGAGAAAACACGATACAGAGGCATGCATGGGAGGGGCACGCATGGGAGGGGCACACATGGGAGGGAGGTCTAGTTTTGAGGCGCCTCACAACTAAACGAGGCACACATGGAGCGACTGTATTGAGAAAACAAGATACAGGGGCACACATGGGAGCGAGGTGAGGGAACAGAGGATTAGGAGAAACAGGATACAACAAGAAACATGTACAGATTTGAAGGGCTGTGAATTCAGTGCATGCCAAAGGAAGCGGACGGGGGGGGGGGGGGGAGGAAATAAACATGACAGAGGACTGTAATCTTTTTTGTTAAGGAAAGCTGAGGTGCAAAAGAAAATTAGCCGCGCTTTCCTCCTCACTCCTCCCAGCTTTCACCCTCCCCATTACCCACCCTTCTTGACAAGCCATCCCAAACCAGCTATCTCCTGCCCCTTACCTCTAGCGCCGCGACGCAGAAGAGTGTGAGGATGACGTAGAAGACGAGCGGCGACATGAGGAAGAAGAGCAGGGAGACTATTGTGTCGACTTGAAGGGGCAACAGGAGGAGAACAGGGCACTGCAGAAGAAAGTAACAACTCCTCACCTCTAGCGCCGCAACGCAGAAGAGCGTGAGGATGATGTAGAAGACGAGGGGCGACATGAGGAAGAAGAGCAGCAGCAGCTGAAGTGAAAAGCTGCTCCTTGTTCCCCCCTAATACCCCTGTCCACCTTCCCCAATCCTCTTGGCATTTCTCCCATTCTGTGCCTCACCTCGAGAGCGGCGACGCAGAAGAGTGTGAGGATGATGTAGAAGACGAGAGGCGACATGAGGAAGAAGAGCAGCAGCAGCATGACAGACGACATCACCACAAACCCCACTGCTGACCCCACTGACATGTCGTATGCTCCTGATGCCTCGGCCTGGGACTGATTGGAAGAGGGGGGGAGGAGGGAGGAGATATCAATGAGGGGGGCGGCAGCAGCAGCAGCAGCAGCAGCAGCAGCAGCAGCAGCAGCAGCAGCATCAGCATCAGCAGCAGCAGCATGACGGACGACATCACCACAAACCCCACTGCTGACCCCACCGACATGTCGTATGCTCCTGAGGAGTCGCCCGCTTACCCCCCACACTCCCCCCGCACCTGATCCGCCAGGGACTGCCCCGCGCCGCTCTTTCCCTCCAGCGCCGCCCTCTCCTCCGCCGCAGCCCACGCGGACGCGCCCACGAGCGACAGCAGCGCCAGCGCCCACAGCACCAGCTCCGCCACGTCCAGCAGCGCGCGTGGGGGGGCGTACAGGGATACGGTGACAGGGGAAGCGGAGGCGGAGGGGGAGGCGGAGGGGGAGGCGGAGGGGGAGGAGGCGGAGGCGTTGGAGAGGGCTTGAAGGAGGAATTGGCCTGACGAGTTGGAGACCATGACCACCGGAATAGTCACAGCGCCTTCAGTCAGGTCTGTCGCGTTGCAGCCCATCCCAATAATACCTGGTACAGGGCACCGGATTACAAGTCAGCTTGATATAGCTATATATTGCGTACGCTTATGCATTGAATCACATGCTGACACTCGAACACTATCTACCCCCCACACTTGTACCCGACGCTTACCTTCTTCACTGTTGATGACGATGGCAGCAGCTGCTCCCAGGCGCTGCACGCAGAGGGCCTTGGAGGCGAAGCTGCACTCTCCTCGCTGCACCAACACTGCCTGGCCCTGGAACTGGCATGCAGGAGACGGGAGGGAGACGGGAGGGAGACGGGAGGGAGACGGGCGGGAGGACAAGGACGAGTAAAACGTGAAGTCATGAAGAAGCGGAGTTTGGAGAAAGGTTAAAAAACAGCCAAGTATCGAAAGAAGCTACTGCGCGGCCGATTTGACTTCAGGAGCACGGTGTCTAACGAGGGCGAGACTAAAGAAAGAGGTTATGAGCTCACGTACTGAGGGGAGAGGAGGCAGGGGGTCGGAGCAGGCGAGCAGAGGCTGCATCTGCGCAAGGGAGAAGGAGAGCGCGTCAGCCTTGGTCTTGGGGAGGCCCGCGCCGAAGCTGGCTTCAAGAGCGAGGATTTGAGGGTCTTTGCCGCCGCTGATGGTCGCGGCGTTGCCTCCCACGTGCACGCCAAGCTTGACCTGAAGTGAGGGGATGGGTGCGACGTGACTTTAAGCCGACTGGAAATCTATTTTGGGCGGAAAGCGTGACCTGAGGTGTGCGGGGATGGTGGGAAGTGACCTTAACTCGACTAGAAATCTATATTGGAAGGAAAGCACGACCCGAGGTAAGGGAAGGTGGGACGTGACTCTCCGTAGACTCTAAAGTCGTATTAACAGGATTGTTTGACCTAAAGGTGAGGGGATGGTAAGGTTGTGATAAATTGTGAAGAAACTAGGAAATTGTACCAGGAGACAATATTGAGAAGGCAAGGAGAGAACCGCCGTACCATTTCCACGCTGTTATCGCATCCTTGTCGCGGCGTCTGAGCGCTTACGGACGACGGACACAAAATCAGGACAATCAAAAATAGTGATAATAACAGAAGCCGTCGAGACGCTACAACCGAAGTGTGCTGAACAAGCGTGCATGATCGGCGTGCACTTGGCGCCCAGGTCAACAATCGACGGTCCATCTCACGACACTTTCACGACACGGTTGCGAGTTGAAGAAGCGCGTGATTCGTGATGCTTCAGGAGGGGCGAGTTGGCATTCGATTAGAGACGTCCCGAACCTCGTGGGACCGGAATCTGCTAATCAACTATCGACAAGCGAAGCTTATCCTCGCTAAGATCCCGCATCGGCTTCTTAACGAGAATAAAAAACTAGGATGCCTGACCGGGGACCAACTCAGGCCTCTCCCGACGACGGGCACGAAGGGGAAGTTCGGGACCGTCAGCCGTGAGGGAGAGCTATGGCTGATTGAGATAAGCCTTGCCAATCACGAAGTAGTGAACTCTTTTACACGAGAGTGCCGTTGTCGGGCAAATTCTAGGTTGAATTGGCTCTTCTGCTGCCTGGCATAGTCTAGGTACCACTCTTTACCGCGTGAGAACGTACTGTACCGTACTTGACGATCGAACATCGAGGATTCGAGGAATTGACGAAGTTGGACGTTCGTCTGACACCACCCACACGTCAGGGCTTTCCCGCGCATTTGCCGCCTGTAAGAACAGCATTCGCTACGATATACTTAGGATGTCTTACAGGTGATATTCAGACCCACTAACTACTCTTGTCTCCCTGCCTGCTAAAGCGTGCCTCCTCATGCTCATACTCATCCTCCTCATTACCAAAAAGCCAGACAATCGAGTGTCTCTTCCTAAAGCTTCTCCAATCCAGGTCGTCTTTCTCTAAGTCGATTTTCTTAGGATGTCTTACAGGTGATATTCAGACCCACTAACTACTCTTGTCTCCCTGCCTGCTAAAGCGTGCCTCCTCATGCTCATACTCCTCATCCTCATTACCAAAAAGCCAGACAATCGAGTGTCTCTTCCCAATGCTTCTCCAATCCAGGGATATCCTCGTTACAAGTCCTAGGGAGCTTCCAGATAAGCTTTACGTTGTGCACACCGTTGGCATCAGTGCAAGAATCTCCAAAACTCAACGAAAGCGAATCAGCCCAGTGGTACATATGCAAAAGCTTCCAAGTTGGAACCGCAATGATGCACATTACACTTGGGCTGGGCTCATAAAATGTCTTCAGGAGCTACAATGAAGCCGCTGTGCAATAAATAGTTCCCTCTGCCGTCGGAACAGCTGGTGCGGACTGGGTTACCGTAGGTCCAACCAGTGGCTCTTCCAAGCTGTCCTCAGGTACCCTGCAGCAGACAAGTGTGAGACACACACAATACAGGTACCTCATCAGGGCGTGTTTCTCGCCCGCGTTTTTTAAACAAACATTCATCCAAGAACTTTGGATGAAACAGGTTACAACGTACAGCCACATCCAAACAACCCCCCCAAGCCATGTGCATGGGGCATTTCCAAGCATAATTGGCATCATGCACACCAAAAAACTCACCTGGGTGCGGAGCTTTCCTTTCCATTCCAGAGTGTACCGAGCTCCCCTCGTCGCCATGCCAAGAGCACTACCACTCCTGCCATGCACGGTCAATGACAAGAGGATGGCCGGAAACAAATCGGGTCAGGGTGATCATGGTAGCAAGAATACAGAGTGCAAGAGGTAGGTGGATATATGGATGCAAGCAAGGGCGGTGGTAAAGAGTGGTGAAGAGAGGATAAGAAACAAGGAAGATGGGACTTACCAAGGGTGCAAGGGACAAGGTAAAGCATCGCTGGATGTCCATTGCCGTTCGTGAGAAGAAACATTTGTGTTGCTTCATTGTGTGGGTGAGCAACAACGGTGAGCAGCAAGCCTGCAATGCACGGAGCAGTGGGACAAGAGTGCAAGAAGGATGTGGCAAGCCATGCAGGTCAGAAGATAAAAAGGAAACCACCTCTCTCGCAAATGAATGGCATGCGTCACAAAGGCACGGAAATGTCTCACAAAGCCATGGCAGGCATACAAAAGCATTCCACACTTTAGAGAGGAACCGAAAGCATGCAAGCATGCCATCACAAATGGCAGTATCTTACCCACTGCATAGCCGAGAATGGCAGGCAGATAATAACCATCTATGCCCAACTTCTTGGCGATGCAGTCATATCTGATGCACTCAGAAGGCAACAAGACACACAGGAACACAATTTTGTAAAAAAAAACATTTACACAAAAAGTACTCCAACAGATGTCTATCAATTTGGTATCTGATGCATGCAGATATGTGGAGGAGTGGAGTGAGGGAGGACAGAGCAGTAGGGCAATGAGTGACCTGTTCCGAGAAAAATCGAGTTACTTTCAGCTAAGAACAGTAACTCACCTTCTGGTGAAGACAACGAGCAGGCCTGGCAGCACCACATCCCCAAAGCTTAGTATGAAGTATCCCGCCTGGCGGGCCATTACGTTTGGCACCTTGAACAGACTGGGTATGCCCTCAACCCACGTGCGCTCCCCTGCTGCCACCTGGAAGCACGGGATTGGACGGATGAAACCTGCGATTTGTCAGAGATAACGAGACAGCAGCAAACGGAATATGGCAAGCAAAAATGTATTGCAAAGAGAAACAGATGGTGAACAGAAATGGAGGGGGCAGATTCACTTACCTCAATCATCTCAATCATCGCGCTCTGACCTCAATCAAGGAGCTCTGACCTCAATCATGAGGCTTCTTACATTGAAGACCCAGAAGATGTCGTAGAAGAACGCGAGGGAGAGCAGCACTGTCGGCACCTGGTGCAATGGAGAAGGCATTGCCGGTGGCGAGGGACAAAATGAGATAAACGGCAAGCTTAGAGGAAAATAGAGGAGATGAAGTCACAAAAGATGTCATAGAGAAAAGAAATGGAGAGCAGCACTGTGGACATCTGGTGCGATGGACATGGCATGGTGGGACGGTGGTGAGAGACATGACAAGACGAAACGGAAAATGACAAAGACACAGGAAACATGAGACCCGGAAGATATCCTACGAGAAATAGAGGGAGAGAAGTACTGTGGACACCTAATGAGACGAATCGTGAGGCAATCAATCAGGGTGAAATTGCACTGGAGCAAGCGAGGGTGTGAGAGTGTGACAGTAAGAGGGTGTGAGGGTGAAAGAGTGGGAGGATATGAGAGAAAGAGAGTGGGATGGTGTGAGAGTGAGAGGGTATGGTGTCGGCACCTGTACTTACCGATTTGTTGCTTGTTGAGTCTTGTTTGTTTGTTTAGATTAGCTTAAGCTTAGTTTCCTCTGCGTGTTCTGCCTTGCTGACTAATACGAAGGACCATTCGAGAGGGTATGTGGGTGCGAGGGTGTGAAGGGCGCCGGGCGGACTGACCTTGATGTTGGGCAGACGCACTGCCTGCAGCACCGTGATCATCAGCGCGACGCCCTGATGTGGTGGGGAGGGGATGGGGGAGCGGGAAGCAAAAGGGCGAGGAGGGATTCTGAGGCGCCTCCAAGCCTCCAAGGCGCTGCCTGCAGCCTGATGATCATGAGCGTTATGCCCTGAGGGGTGGGAGGGGAGGGGAGGGGGGTCGCGGTACAAAGCCAAAGGGTTACTCAGAGGCGCCTCAAACCCACTGCCTCAAAGCTTTAGTGATCACGTGGAGAGAGGTGGAGTGGGGGAAGGAGGAGCGTGGTGGATGCAATGGGAAGTGAGGGGAGGCGAGGTGATGGCAAGGGCACGGGTCGGCAAAAAGTCAACAGGAAAAGGTTTCGAGTTTGTGGGGGAAGTGGTCAAGTGAAAATTGTAACTGCAATACAATAACCAATCAAGAAACTGTCATTATCCCACCCCAAGCCATTATCTAAAAGAGGAAAACCCTCTGTAGTCATACCAGGATATCCTGTGCCCCCATGCATCTGGGTGGATGTAACCCAACTCAACCCAACCCAACCAAACTCAACCCTGTGTGGTCATACCAGGATATCCTGTGCCCCCCAATTGTTTGGCTCGTCGTCGTGGAAGAAGGCCCAGGAGATGGCGAGGGCGAGGGAGGTCAGGAAGAAGGAGCGGGAGAAGCAGGAGGAGCGAGGAGACGGGAGTGGGAAGAGCCTGGAAGGGGGGAGAAGGAGAAAGGACCGAGGGTGGGGAGAAGGGAGGCAGAACAATAAGAAGAGGAAAGAGGAATTGTAACCAACAACAGGGCTAGTTGGGAAAGAGTTGCTTGCATAGGAGCAATGTGGATAGTAGGGGGGAAGAAGAGTATCGCAAGGGGAGACAGGGCGAAATGGGGCGGGATAGGGGACATGAGAAGCAGGAAAGAGAGGGGGCACGTTAGAGGGAGGAGTGACTGACCAGTAGAAGAGCGAGGAGAGGCACACGTGGAGCAACTGCAAGGAGAAAAACAGGATGCCAGGGCGTACAGGGGCGTACAGGGGCATACAGGGGGGTACAGGGGCATACAGGGGCATACAAGAATGGGCAACAAGAAGAATGGCCAAAGTAGAAAATGAGGAAAAAAGGTGCAAAACACAACAGCCTCTCCTGGCTCCCCTCGCCTCCCAGCTGCCCCTTTCACCCTCGCCCCTGCCCACCCTTGTCTATCACAGTTGCAGTGCGACAGGACAACAAGTGCACAACAGCAAGTCACAAGCCATCTCAGACCTGCCAGACCTGTTGCAGTTGCAGTGCCCGTTCTCCATCTCAGACCTGCCTTCTCCCACGCCTCACCCAGATAACAGTGACGACGAAGAGCGAGCCGATGATGTAGAAGGCGAGGGTTGACAAGTGGTACATGAGCAGCAGCAGCATCACGGCCAATATCACCACAAACCCCACTTCTGTCACCGCTGACTTGTCGTTCGCTCCTGACGGGTCGCCTTGGGGCTGATTGGAAGGGAGGAGGTACGGGAGGAGCAAGGAGATATGGAATGAGGGGGACAGGAGCAGGGGCTAAAGCAGCATCACAGACGAGAACACCACGAATCCCACTGCCGACCCCACCGCACCAACGTGTCGGGGCTTATAGGGGCGGGGAGGGGGGATGTGGAGGGTACGGGGAGAGGAGACAGCAGCACTTTGAGCCGTCTTAACGCCCAATAGACTTCCCCACACTGCCCCTCCTCCCCCGTTCACCTTTCCCCCGCTCATCCCGCACCTGATCCGCCAGGGACTTCCCCCCGCCACTCTTCTTCTCCAGCGCCGCCTTCTCCTCCGCGGCAGCCCAGGTGGATGAAGCATCCTCCGCTCCCCCCGCACCCCCTTCTTCCCCCCCTTACCCCCGCTCTCTCCCCGTACGTGATCCGCCAGGGACTGCCCCGCGCCACCCCTCCCCTCCAGCGCCGCCTTCGCCCCCGCAGCAGCCCACGCGGACAATTAATTCTCCTTCCCCCCACCTCTTCCCCCGCTTACCCCTTCCCCTTTCCGCCCACCTGGTCCGCCAGAAACTGCCCCGCGCCACTCCTCCCCTCCAGCGCCGCCTTCTCCTCCGCGGCAGCCCACGCGGACGCGCCCACGAGCGACAGCAGCGCGAGCGCCCACAGCACCAGCACTTCCGGATCCAGCATCGGAGGCGCGTACAGGGAGACGGAGATAGGAAAGGGCGAGGTGGCGAGGGCAAGACGGAGATATTCTCCTGACGACTTGGAGATCATGACCACCGGTATAGTCACAAGGGAATCAATCAACTCCCATGGTTCGCAGCTCATGGAAACGATACCTGCCAAGTAACAGCACCAACGCACCAGCTTTAAGCAATCACAAACGAGACCTTTGTAAAAAACCACCGAATGCTACGCATTGAAACATATGCTCGCACCCAGAGACATCGTCCCGAACACTAGATCCTGACAAATTGGAACAAAGTTCAAAGTGCATGTGCATGTACAGACTCGCATGCCAAGTCCCACTCTGGTTCACATCGTCTGCAGGCAATACCTTCTTCTTCGTCGTTGACGATGATGGCAGCAGCTGCTCCCAGGCGTTGCACGCGGAGGGCCTTGGAAGCGAACCTGCACTCTCCTCGCTGCACCAACACTGCCTGACCCTGGAACTCGCACACAGGAGACGGCCATGAGGACACGGAAGGACGTGCTTGGACGTACGGTGCAGCATTGCTGAATAGAAGCAACAGCACGAAGAGTTGTCATAAGAGCACCGTGATTAACGAGGGTGAGGCTAATAGAAGGGGCTCTGAGCTCACGTACTGAGGGGAGAGGAGGCACGGGTTGGAAGCAGGCGCGAAAGGGCTCCGTATTAGCAAGAAAGAAGGAGTAAGCCTCAGGCTTGGTCTTGGGGAGGCCCGGGCCGAATCTGGCAGTGAGAGCAAGGATGTCGTCTCTGATCGTGACGTTTCCCGCGTACACGATGAGCTTGGCCTGAGGTGCGGGGATGGTAAGATGTGAGTTCAAGTTGACTCAAGAGTCGTATTGGACGGATTGCTTGACCTGAGCGTGAGGGTAGGGTAGAACTCTGAAAGACTTGTGATAGAACTAAGAATCTCCATGTGAGAGATTATGAGGAGGCAAGGAGGAATGAGAGGATTGTAAAGACAACAAGTATGAAGAGAGGGTATGGCAAGAAGCGAGAAAATGTATCTCGGAGAACCGGCAAGTCCCACTGTAGCGCCACCTCCACAGCGCTACTAGAAGCTTTCCAATACCGAGCCTGTACGTTGTGCGTCGAGGCAATTTAGAGCACATAAGTAAATGTATGGTATTCATTTGAAACTCCGAATACACCAGCCAGAGTACATAAATTCAGATCGACCTAGAATCCATCAGCAGGAGTACGGAATCAATCAACCCAGTTGACCGACTGTCTTACCATTTCCACTCTGTTATCGCAGCCGGCTCGCGATGTCTGAGCGCTTACAGACGGCGAACACAAAACGAGGACCAGCGAAAACAGTGCTAATAACAGAAGACGTCCTGACGCTGCAACCGAAATGTGCTGTACAAGCGTGCATGATCGGCGAGTACTCGGCGTTCGGGTCGACAATTGACGGTCCATCTCACGACGGCAGCAAGGAACTTCAAGATAAGGTTCCTAGTTAAAAACTGCGAGCTAACAATGCTCCTCTACAATGCTTGAGGACAATAGATTCAACGACAACTGCGACTTTGAAATAACTGGAGTGTATCCTCGCTAAGGTCCCGCTTCTTAACGAGTAAAAAAGTCTGCGGATGCCTGGCCGAGGAACAACTACGGCCTCCCGAAGGAGGCACGGAGGGACATCTGGGGACCGTCAGCCGCCACAGAGCGCCATGGAAATGGCTGAAATCATAAAATGGTTCGGTTTTAGGGCTTCGGGTTTGGCCATCACTGTCAAGGTGGTATGGAGACCTCGAGGTTATCTGATGGCACTTTCGAGGGCTCTCCCGCGCATTTGCGATCTGTGACATTGTTCTCGTTTAGTACGCTCGCGCCACATATTTACGGTTGGTTGCTTACATCCATGGCTGGTTTGACAAGATGAATGGAAGTCATGTTTTTTCTTAGGAAGTCTCTTATCATTCACTAACTACTCTCGTCCCCCTGCCTACGAAAGCGTGCCTCCTCATGCTCATCCTCGTCGTCCTCATCACCCCCATCCATTTCCTCCATCTCATTCTCCTCAGCTTGCTCCGCATTCTCGCACAGCCTCTCATACTCCCTGTAGATCTTCCGGCTCTTGAGCCATGTCATAATCGTCATGACCGCAAGCCCGACAATCGCCAGCCCTCCAAGCGCGAAAATGGCCATGTACTTAGGGCTCAAAGTACTTGAAGCAATGTATTTCACCTCCATGTCGCAAACCCCCGCCAGTGTCCCTTCCGGAAGCTTCTCCGACCCAGGGAGATCCTCGTTACAAGTCTTCGGAAGCTTCCAGATATATGTTACGTTGTGCACACCGTTGGCATCGGTGCACGAGTCCTCGAATCTCTGGTAGTCGTCCTTAGTGCAAGGCGGGCAGAACTCATCAGGGGGCAAGGGCACCTGTGGATTTGGCTGGCAAAGCTGCCGGGTTGGAGGGGTTGGGAAAGGAAAAGGCAAGTCTCGAACGGGATGAACGGATGTGCCTACTTCTAAAGGTCCCAGGCAATTTGCTTAGCAGGACACAACACAAGAAAGCCCTCCCAAATAACCAAACCTCGGTCGCCCCTCCCACCATACCCGCGGTGTCTTGTGTTTGTAGGTGAAGCGCTTGTTGTGAATGCAGCTGGCAACAACAACAGGCTCCACGTCGAGCACAGTGCACAGCGCGCACGCATTCGCCGTGTGCCACACCATCTGGAACAGACACGACACCAGCGCTAACCAAACCCCCAAACCCAACCACCTCCGCTTCTCACCCTCCCCTTAACCAGCGTCTCTCTCCTCAGCTCACGTGTCCCAGGGATAAAGGGAGCGACATACTCGTGGAGTCTTGTACTTGGAAGTGAAGCGCTTGTTGTCAATACAATTCGCCACAGCAACAGGCTCCATATCCAGCACGGTGCAGAGCGGGCACGCATACGCCGTGTACCACACCATCTGGAACAGGCATGACACCGGCGTCTCCCAACCCAACCCCCCAAACCCTACCACCCTCATCCAACTCCACTCAACCGGATCCCACGTCACCTGCCCCTGGGAACACAGCGGGCATCTTACCCGTGGAGTCTTGTACTTGTACGTGAAGCGCTTGTTGTCGATACAATTCGCCACAGCAACAGGCTCCATATCCAGCACGGTGCAGAGCGGGCACGCATACGCCGTGTACCACACCATCTGGAACAGGCATGACACCGGCGTCTCCCAACCCAACCCCCCAAACCCTACCACCCTCATCCAACTCCACTCAACCGGATCCCACGTCACCTGCCCCTGGGAACACAGCGGGCATCTTACCCGTGGAGTCTTGTACTTGTACGTGAAGCGCTTGTTGTCGATACAATTCGCCACAGCAACAGGCTCCATATCTAGCACGGTGCACAGCGGGCATGCATACGCCGTGTACCACACCATCTGAAACAGGCACGACACCGGCGCCTCTCGCCCCACTGGGATTACGTCCCCCGACCGATTGGCCCACGCGGGATATGACAGATTCGGGTCTAGAGCTGCCTTCTTGCCCCCCTCCGTCCATGGCTCTGGGTGGCCGTAGCCTGGGGGTGATTGAGAGGGAAAGAGAGGGTGGAGAGTGTAAGGAGGATAAGAAATAAGTGAAGAAGAAGTGTGCAGGCGCTGTGCCGTGCACCACACCATCTGGAACAGGCATGAGACCAGACCCTCGCGCCCCACGCGGGGTAGGAGAGGGCTGGGTCCAGAGCTGCCTTCTTGCCCCCCTCCGTCCATGGCTCTGGGTGGCCGTAGCCTGGGGGGCACAGTGAGACAAAATGAGCATGGAGAGTGAAGGGACGTGAGGAAGAAGTGTGGGAAGGGTGTGCCGGGTACCACACCACCTGCAAGGGACAGGAGCCAGGCGCCTCCCACCCTATTGCTTGCCTCACCAGCCGCGGGGTCTCACCAGCTGCGGGGTCTCACCAGCCTCGGGGTCTCACCAGCCTCGGGGTCTCACCAGCCTCGGGGTCTCACCAGCCGCGGGGTCTCACCAGCCTCGGGGTCTCACCAGCCGCGGGGTCTCACCAGCCTCGGGGTCTCACCAGCCTCGGGGTCTCACCAGCCGCGGGGTCACAGATGAAGGTGAGGTTGGAGGTGCTGGGCTCATCAGACATCGGGCAGCTCTCCCCATGGAACAACATCACCAGCCGCCTGGTGCATGAAGGTGCTGCTATGTAATCTACACAACATGCCCCACCCACCAGCCTCAGGGTCACAGATGAAGGTGAGGTTGAACGTGCTGGGGGCGTCGGACATCGGGCAGCTCTCCCCATGGAATGTCATCACCAGCCCTCTCCGCTGCACTCTAGGTGCTGCTGCCGTAGCATAGACTAGATGCCTCACTCACCAGCCTCAGGGTCGCAAATAAAGGTGAGGTTGAAGGTGCTGGGGGCATCAGACATCGGGCAGCTCTCCCCATGGAATGTCATCACCAGCCCTCTCCGCTGCAGCTGCGGCTGCGAAAAGCTTCCCAGGGGGGCCAGCGCCACTGTGTCCCCCAGGCTGTGGGCTGATGTGGCGGTGCTGTGCTCGTTCAGACTCGGGTTGATCTGATGGGGAAGGCGAGGAGGGAGAGGGGGGGAGGGGAGGAGAATGGACGTGCTGCCCAGCGGGGCCAGCGCCACGGTGTCGCCCAGGCTGTGGGCCGATGTGGCTGTGCTGTGCTCGTTTAGACTCGGGTTGATCTGATGGGGCAGGGAGGAAGTGGGTGGGATGGGAAGGGATGCGAGTGGATTTGGAGGGAAGTACACATGTGTTGTTAAGTGGCTTCCCAGTGTAGATGATGCATGGGTACGTTGTGGTTTGGGCCAGTCATGTTTGTTCACCACCTCACCCGTTGCCACCAACCCTTCAGGCACCTCAAAAAGCACTCACCCGGCACACATAGGTGTTGTTCAGCGGCTTCCCCGTGTACATGATGCACGGATACGTTGTGTTGGCTCTCTCTCCCTTGCCGCCACCGCCCCCCTTCCCAGCACCACTATCACCACTCCACACACCACCGCCCCCAGCTGCCCCACCGCCAGCACCAGCAGCACCCCCAGCAGCACTAGAGGAAACACCAGGCCGATACACAGGGTTGTCACTGTTGCTGCGAGCACACACCGACACATAGTATTTGGGCCCCTTCTGCAGGTCTACAAAGGAAGGGCCCTCATAAATCGGCCCCACGAGGCGCCCCAGGTTTTGGTGCGCGAGGGGGGAGAGGTCGTAGAGCAGAGTGTCTGTGGAGTTGAAGGAGCGCACGATGAAGGTGCAGAAGGAGGAGGGCGAGGTGACGTCCCCTATGGCGCACTCTGCACTGCCTTCGAGGGAGGTTGTGCCTGGGCCGCAGGGCTCACAGGCTGTGCGGTTGCCCTGCGATTGGTGGCAGGGGAACGTAGAGCAAAGGGCAAGAGGCGAAACAGGTTGAATAGGAGAGGGGTGAGAGGGGGGAGAGGGGGGAGGGGTTGTAGAGCAGAGTGTCTGTGGAGTTGAAGGAGCGGACGATGAAGGTGCAGAAGGAGGAGGGCGACGTCACGTCGCCTATGGCGCATTCTGCACTGCCCTTCAGCGAGGTCGTGCCTGGCCCGCACGGCTGGCAGGCTGTGCGGTTGCCCTGAGATGGTGGCGGGGTTAGGTAAGGGAGATAGTAGGGGGGTGGCGGAAGGGCAAGAATCAGTTGGCGTAAGAGCAAGCTGGGTTATGCACACTGCTCTGTCGCTTGATGAGAGCAAGCTGGGGCGACAAGGCCAGAGCGGAGAGCGTCACTGCACCACACCATGGTACAGTGCGGTGCGGTGCGTTGCGGTGCGGTGCATAACGAGTTGTGAACGGTCACTGCACCGCACCGCACCCTGCGGCTGCCCTGCAAACATGGCTTCAAATTCTCAGGGTCAGCCGCAATTTAAACTCACCGCTGGCTTGGGATTGAAGGTGTTGGCGGGGCACTTCTCACACAGCCCTTCACCCCCTTCGCTGTAATACCTAGCAGGACACTCCTCCCACGCGTCCCCACTCTGTCCCTTCTGCGCGCCTGCAGGGATGCGCACACACCCGGGCGCGCCCCCCTGTGCCGCACCCCACACGCGCACGCTGTGCAGGATGGCGGAGGAGCGGGATTGACAAGCAAACTCACCGCTGGCTTGGGATTGAAGGTGTTGGCGGGGCACTTCTCGCACAGCCCTTCCCCTCCTTCGCTGTAGTACCCTGCAGGGCACTCCTCCCACGCGTCCCCACTCTGTCCCTTCTGCGCGCCTGCAGGGATGCGCACACACCCGGGCGAGCCCCCCTGTGCCGCACCCCACACGCGCACGCTGTGCAGGATGGCGGAGGAGCGGTCGACGAGGGTGCGATCGGCGTTGAGTGCGACCCACACCCACATGATGCGGTGGCTGCCTGCTGCCAAGGGCCACTGCTGGCTGCTGCTGCGACCGACAGGCACGCTCACGCCCACGCTGCCCCCATCCTGAGGGAATGGGGGAGGGAGGATAAGGAGAGGAGTGAGTGAGTGCTGATCATGCTTCTCCTGCTGCTCCTTGTGTCCCCCACACGTGCACGCTGTGCAGGATGGCAGAGGAGCGGTCGACCAAGGAGCGGTCGACGAGGGTGCGATCGGCGTTGAGTGCGACCCACACCCACATGATGCGGTGGCTGCCTGCTGCCAGCGCCCACTGCTGGCTGCTGCTGCGACCCACTGGCACGCTCACGCCCATGCTGCCCCCGTCCTGATGGGGAAGGAGAGAGGGGGGGAAGGATAGGAAGAAGAGACCGTGCTGCAAGTCAACTCAACCATGATGTCATTCAGCAGTATCAACATTCAACACCACACAGCACCGCTCATCACTCCTCCCACCCACACAGCAATCGCACCTCAATGTTCTCCAGCAGGTTGTCATCAGGGTAGAAGAGGAGGCCGCGCTGCAGGTCACTACCGCACAGTACTGCACACCATTGCTCGATGCTCACTACCGCACAGTACTGCACACCATTGCTCGATGCTCACTACCGCACAGCACCACACATCGCACCTCAATGTTCTCCAGCAGGTTGTCATCCACGTAGAAGAAGAGGCCGTGCTGCAGGTCACCTTATGGCTGGCACCACCCACCTGAAGAACACAGTGCACTCCTCCTCACCATACCTCAATACTCACCACCGCACAGCACCGCCCATCACACTCACACATACCTCGATGTTCTCCAGCAGGTTGTCATTGACGTAGAAGACCCCATCCACCTTATTTTCCTTAGCACATGCTCACTACCGCACAGCACCGCACATCACACCTCAATGTTCTCGAGCAGGTTGTCATCCACATAGAAGAAGAGGCCGCGCTGCAGGTCACCAGGAGGGATGTCCACGTCAAAGTCGTACGTGATGTAGCCGGGGATGGAGAGATTCACTGTCAGTGCTAGCCACACCTGCAGGGGAGGAGGAAACCAGGGAGATGAGAATCAGGAGGTGGTATGGTATGGCACATGGACAGGCAAAGCCGTATGTGATGTAGCCGGGCCGGGGATGATGAGTTTTACCGTCACCGCAGCCACACCTGCGGGAAGAAGTGAGCAGGTTGGTAGGCAGAGCAATGGAAGTGAGCACGGGAGAAGATGATGAGAATGCTTGGTACGTGTGGCACGACCCATGCACAGGTCACCAGGAGGGATGTCCACGTCAAAGTCGTATGTGATGTAGCCGGGGATGGTGAGATTCACTGTCAGTGCTAGCCACACCTGGGGGGAGACAGAGCAAGGAATGGGGAAAGACAGGTTGGGCTGGCGCTGATGGCAAGAACCAAGGGGAATGTCCACAGGAATCGTACGTGATGTAGCCAGGGATAGAGAGGTTCACCTCAGAGCTAGCCATACCTGCGTGGAGGTGGAGGGACGGATGGATGGGGCGAGGGGGCTGGAGGGATGAGAAGGCGATTTGGTACGGCGCATGGATGGACAATCAAAGTCGTATGTGATGTAGGCGGGGATGGTGAGATCCACTGTCAGCGTCAGCCAGAGGAAGGGAGATGGTGGAAATGAGTCTCAACTTCCCTAGCACCAAAGACTTAATGAGTCATAGTGCACTTAACTAACAAACACACTTACAGAGGCAGTCTTGCCGTTATTCGACCCCGAGTCGAGATAATCACCCACCACCCGCCACCCGCCCGACCCACACTCCCCACTGCATCCCGTCTGGAAGCCGCTAGGAAGCTTCCCGTCCTCCACGTTCTGGAAATGCTCCAGCAGGAGCACCTTCACTGCCACCTCGCCAGGCTGGCATGGGTGGCATGTTTCGTCCGATGTGGGGGAGGGCGCTGCTGGGGGAGGGGCAGCCGTGCCTGGAGTGGGGAGTGGTGGCACTGTTGATGCTTCTGAGGCATTCCGTGCTGTGCCCTGGAAACGGGAGGGGAAGGGGAAGGAAGAAGGGAGAGGAAGGGAGATAGGAGCAGGGCAATGGGAAGAAGAAGGAGAGCAACAGGAGGGGAGGAACGAGTGTTGTAGATTGAGCATGGCAATGGGAGGTGGGTGAAGGCAGCGAGGGTGGCTAGGGGCAAATGGCAGAGAGAGAGAGTGGGTGAAGGCAGCGAGTTAGTGGGGACTTAGAGTGGGTGGGGCAGACGGGAGAGAGCGAGTGGGTGGGGTGAGGGCGTACAGAGGGGCAGAAGGTGCAGGTGAGAGTGTCAGAGGCAGTATCCACCACCGCGTATTGCCCTGACGGGCATGGCTCTGCACACACGGAGGGTCAGAGAGACATGTGCCAAGGAACGGGCAAAAGAGGGAAAGCGAGAGAAAGGAAGAGCGGCATGTGCGGAGGGGTGAGCGATAGAGAATGAGAGATACACGGAGGCAATGACACACACTGCCATGAGAGCCATGATGGTTCCATCCATGTGCTGCATAGATGCAGAGAAAAGGGGTAGCAAAGACTCGGTGAAGAGGCAGTGGCGTGGGAAGATAGGAGAGGCGGTTACTGCATGATTCGGTAAAGAAGGGTGGTGTGGGATGAGAGGCGGTTACCGCATGGCTCGGTGGAGTTGGGAGGGAGGCCGTGGGAGGGGTCGGGCTGGCAGACTTGAGGGGAGAGCCATGACCACACTCGCGTGCGCGTGCGCGAGGAGGCCGAGCAGGGTGTAAAGGTCGGCGTGGCGTCTACTGTCACGTTGCACACTGGAGGAGAGAGGGGGGAGGGGAGAGGGGTGGCATGGGAAGGAATGATATTGGGTGAGAGGAGATGCACGGACGCCCTAGTAACTGCATGTTTCAGTGCGCGAGGAGGCAGAGAAAGGCGTGAGGGTGCGCATGGCGTCTACTGTCACGTTGCACACTGGGAGGAGAGGGAGACGGGAGGGGGAATGTTATGGGGAGGGTGCACGTGTGCGTGAGGAGGCAGAGCAGGGCGTGAAGGTGGGCGTGGCGTCCACAGTCACGTTGCACACTGGGAGGAGGGTGGGGAAGGATGTGAGGATGGGTGATAGGGAAAATTCTAAGGGGGAGGAAAGATTCAAGAAGAGTGGAAGATACAGCTGGGTGTGGGTGCGTGTGGAAGCAGAGTAGGGGGTACGGCAGCCAGCGTGACGTTGCACACTGTGGTGGAGCTTGAGGGGACGAGATTGGGGATGGGGAGAATGATATGATGATATGATGATATGGGGAGATGGGAAATTGGGGGAGTCGCATGGTGGTATGCATGGATGATGAGAAGAGGTAGTTATGTGGAAGGGATGCACTGAGTTTGAGCACGGCATATTGAGGGCGCACAGCATGGTGAGGGCGCACAGCATGGTGAGGGCGCACAGCATGGTGAGGGCGCACAGCATGGTGAGGGCGCACAGCCTGGTGAGGGCGTGTTAAAGGCACTCACGAGGGCGCGGGGTGCACTGGGTACGGGGCATGGTGAGGGCGTATGTGGTGCTGTTGCACGCCTCACACCTGCCCGAATTCTCTCTGGTTGACGGTGGCCCGGGAGGGGGGGGGTATGGGAGGAAGGGGAGAGAGGGGTGGGAAGAAAGAAACTTGGGAATGTGCGGAGAGCACGGTGAGCACGGTGAATGGAGAAAGACTTTCGAGTCAACTCAGAAGTCACCTTTTGGGTCGACCCAAAAGTCACCTCGAGAATGTGCGGAGAGCACGGTGAGCACGGTGGAGGGAGAAAGACATCAAGAAGCGAGGGAGCGAGACAAAGGAGTAGAGGATGAGGGCGGTCATAAGCAGCAGCGGGATGGCTTTGGGGGAATGGATGCTCGTGAACATGGCGCTTGGATTCCGCATAATGGCTGCTTGCTTTGTCAAGACACGATGTGCTATGAATGGGAAGGGAAGAGGAGAGAGAAGAGAACGAGGAGAATTAAGAGACTGAGTCGAGGGGAAAGTGAGGAGAAAGAGGAGAGAGATTAGAGAGGAGAGAAGGGAGAAAGCGCACAGAGAGGGGAGGGAGAGGAAAGAGAGAGGAGAGAGAGGAGAGAGGAGAAGAGGAGGCGAGGGGAGAGGGCGGGAGGTGAGCGTACGCTGAGATGTGGTCAGGAGGGCATGCTGTGCAGTTGGTGGCTTGCTCCCCACTGATGAGAGGAGCGTGGTGAAGGGGAAGCGCAATGCCATGCACACAAACACACACGCCCACATGCAAAACACACTCACTCACCCACCCACCCACCCGCCCGCCCTTCCGCCCCTCCCCCTCAACACCCAGACACACGCACACATAAGCACGATCACACGCACATAGAGGCACATGATGTTCGTGCAAGCATCCACCCAGGAGGAAAATCCACAGCAACAAAAAGCAATGTGAGTCATCACGTAAGCGCACTGATAATGCAGCAGCAATGGAGGGAACATACGGAGGAGTCACAGCAGAAGCGACTGGGAAAGCATATGCATGGAAGAGGAGACGAGTGGGAGGAGATAGAGGATATGGAGAAGTGGTTGGAGTTGGAGACGAGTGGGAGGAGAGGGAGGAGTGGTTGGAGAGGAGAGGGAGGAGATAGAGGAGTGGTTGGAGACAGAAGAGGGGGAGGAGTGGGACGAAGTGGGTGTCAGATACAGGCAAACATGCAGAGGAAGAGCCAAGAGACATGCGCATGCAACAGGTCAGAAAGCGAGTGGAGAAGCAGACAAGACCTGAAGAATCCTGCAGGGCATTTGAGGCAGGTTGAGTCGGTGTATGCCGTGCCGTCCACCTCCAGAAACTGCAGAGGAGATGCGAAAGAGAGGCATGCAGAAAGAGAGGCATGCAGAGCGTCAGACAGAAAGAGAGGAGCACAGAAAGTGTGGTCACAGTAGGGCCACTCGTAAAGTTTCAGAGGCAAAATGTTTTGACATGGTTCAAACGAAAGATACGAAGGACGGGCTGGCAACAACTGGAAGTTGGATTCACTTATGGGATCGCTAACATTGAACTATGGCGGGTGTGTCAAGGACCAGAAATGGAGTGGCAAAAGCCAAGCCACACTGGTGTTGTGATTTCCCTGCCCTGTGTGAAGGACTCCGCCTGCCAGCTGTGAGTTGTAATTCCAGTCGACTCAAAACACAAACTGGTTACCACACTGGCAAGAGCCGCACCTGAATGGCAGCAGAGTCCCTGCCCTGTGTGAAGGACGAGTCCTTGACATAGGCCCACACAAGAGTGTGCCTGCCCGCTGCCAGTGGGAAGCGCACCTCCTTGGGGTCGAACTGTACGGACCCACACAGGGACATGGGAAAGCGAGAAGAGAGGGCTTGAATACAACCAAACGTGAAAAAGTGTAGCCCACACACCCGAGCGTGTGCCTGCCCACTGCCAGGGGGAAGCGCACCTCCTTGGGGTCGAACTGCACAGGCACAGGAACAAGTGGGACATTGGGGACAGGAGGGTTGAGAACAGCAGGTTAGAGAATGAGAGGACAGAATCTGGAAATAAGTGGAGCCCATACGTGGTGTGCGCACCCCACCTGCTGAAAGGTGGAAAGTGGAATGAGGAACTCACCTGATTGTAAGCAAGCAGCATGGCGGGGGTGTTGAGGTCGTCGATATAGAACACGAGTCCGTCCCTCTGCCTCTCTGAACTCACTGTGAAGCGGAACGTGACGTACCTGGTGGTAGTGATGGATGGGCAGAGAGCGAGGAGGAAAGTGGGGGATAGGAAAGGGACTTTTGATTGAGCTGACTCAACGGTCATGGCTCCGAACGCACTGTGAACCGGAATGTGACGTACCTGGTGATATGTATGGGAGGGAGGAGAGGGAGGAGGAAAAGTGGATGGGAGGGTTGGTGGGAGTGGTAGAGCGACACATGGCAGGCCAGAAGGGCAGGGACGGTGAAAAGCGGGAGGACAGAGAACAAGAGGAGAGATTGCCGGAACAGAGACGAGAATGCTGAAAGTAAGAGTGGCTTTGATGAAGTTACATTTGACTCACCCATCCCTGACGAGAGTGAGGGGCAGCTTGAGCATGGATTGCAGGTTGTTGTGGCATGTCATGTTGGTGAAATATGCACACTCCTCCTGCTCACACAGCAACAGCAACAGAGATGGATGACGGTTGTGAACTGGTTCCTTTACATGGATAACAGCCAATCTACAAACGGAAATAAACATGTAAACGCCGCTATATGAGAGCATAATTATTGCATGCAACAGGCACATGAGCATAACTAAAGGCGACAATTCATCGTGCAATGCAAGTACAGCATTTACATGGACCGCTGTAAAGAGCAAAAACAACGCATTCCTTGAACTCATCAAACAATCCCCACCCATCATACAAACCCACCATACAGGCATCAGAAAGCATCCACCATACTCAACACACAAGCACCGCACTGCACACCTCGAGCCAGTAGTTGGCAGGGTCGTAGGAGCCCACTTTCAGCTGCCCCTCCTCTGCATACCACCCCTCACAGGGGAACGTGCCTGTGGCGTTGTTGAAGGAGCACTCCGTCTGTATGGCGATGGGTGACGAGGGGGAAGAGGGAGTGGGAAGAGAAGTCAGGACTCACACACACACACACACACTGCCCCTCCTCCGCATACCACCCCTCACAGAGTAAGGTGCCCGTGGCATTGCTGAAGGAGCATTCGGTCTAGATAGCAATGGGTAAAGAGGAGCGGAGGGGGGTAGCAGGAGTCGGAATGGGAACGAGAGAAGAAGCAGGAAAGCCGGGCTTCACACACTGCCACACCAGGGCATAGAATGGCATGGCACGAAAGAAAAAGGATCCACTAGTGTAAGAACGATGTGAGGAAGTTGTTGGAACAAGGCATCCGTAAATTACGACACCCAAAGACCTTGAGGTCAGGTAATTGGTTGAGCACAGCTCCCACCTGGTAAACCTTGGGGTCGGCTCACAAGGCACCAACCTGGAAGACCCTTGGGTCAGGTAGTTATGGAGCACTGTTCGTACCTGGAAGACCTTGGGGTCGAGGTCCTTAAATGCATCCGTATTTTACGACACCCAAAGACCTTGAGGTCAGGTAGTTGGTTGAGAACAACTCCCACCTAGAAAACCTTGGGGCGAGGTACTTGTTGTGGCGCACAGGTCATACCTGAAAGACCTTGGGGTTGGCTCACAAGGCACCCACCTGAAAGACCTTGGGGTCGAGGTTCTTAAATGCATCGTAGCGGAAACCGCCTCCCATGCTGTACGTGCCTGCATAGGGTGCACCACGGGAAACAGAGGGGTGGGGAGGGATGCTTTGCGATGTGATGTGATGTGATACCAGGGCGAAGAAAGAGGAGGATTTGTTCATATCCAGCCAGAGGTGTCCTAGAAGTTATGCCTTGAAATCATCTCAAGGACCAGCAAGCCTGCGTTGATTTCAGTACTTCCACGGTGTGTGACTTTGTGACTTCCATCATACTGTAAGTCACTGTTGGGCCCCTTTCCCCGCTCCCCCTCCGCATGCACACAGACCCATGGATTGCTGGTGGCACGCACCTGCGGGGCACTTGTGGCAGTTGTTGCCTTCGAGGAACATCCCCGGACCACAGCGTGTGTCTGCACTCACATGCACGCCATAGGTGCCATAGATGCCATAGATGCCATAGATGCCATACATACCAAAGATATCATAGATGCCATACATACCATAGATGCCATATATGCCATAGATGCACGCGCGGACAGGAATAGACAAACATGCATGTAATCGTGCATGCAATGCAAGCATGCAGATAGCAAGGCACACACACGCGTGGGCATACATGCATGGAGAGAAGCCACACAATCACACAGGAATGAGCAAACGTATGTGTAACACACACACGGGACCATGTGTGCATTGGGATAAGGGCCATCCATCCACACAGAGATGAGCACATGTACACATCGGGAAGCGCATGCATGCATTGTTTACGCGTGAGATGTGTATGATGCATGCATGGATGTGTGTGGAAGCATGCAGCTGCGCATGCATGCATGTGCGCAAGCATGTCTCACCGCATGGGATGTAGTCGCTGTTTGGAAGGGCAAGGGAGCCGCGAGCAGCAGGGTTGCACTGGTTGTCAAAGTAATACACCACCTGATGGCGGGAGAGGGGAGGATATGAGGTAACAGGGGAGGGAATATGAAGTTATTAAATCCACACGCCGCAAGCAGCAGGGTTACAGTGATTGACAAAGTAATACACCACCTGACGGAGGGGGAGCTGATATGGGATGACGGGGATATGAACTTAATGAAACGTCCTTTGAAGCAGGGTTGAACTGGTTGTTGAAGTATACACCATCTGGATGATTGAGGTTGAGGAGAACGGATGCGGTGGTTGGGGAGAGGGATATGCGGTTTATTGGAGAGTGTTTTGAGGCGTATACACGCCCCGTGCTGCAGAATTGCACTGGTTGTGGAAGTATCATACCAGCTGACTGGGAGAGGATATATACCAGCTGACTTGGTGGAGAGAAGGGTGGGGAGAGCATGGTCGAGGGAAGACTGAGAGAAAACTTGAGTGCGAAAGCGACGAGGGCGAGGGGAGCGGAGCAGGGGGATAAGAGAAGGGGACGCTCCTGAATCATGCGTGTCTTGGAGAGCTGCTGGATGGTGGCTGGGTCACGGATGTAGTCACACGTGAGCCAATCCAATCCTCCAGTCAGGATTGTACATACGTTAGCCACTAAAGAGCAGTGTCGAGCCTCTAGCTGATTCAGCAAGTGAACGGCAGGAGGGGGACGCACCTGGATCATGCGAGTCTTGGAGAGCTGCTGGTTGGTGGATGGGTCACGGATGTAGTCACACGTGAGGTACATGCTCTTCACGTTGGCTTCTGTGCATGGGACGGGCTTCAGCTCTGGGCATGGGCATGGGTACGAGCATGGGCAAGTGAGGGGTGGAAAGTGCTTGTGAACGGCCTCAACCTAACGGATGTAGTCGCACGTGAGGTACTTTCTGAAATTTCTCAAAAATCACGTGAGGTACATGCTCTTCACGTTCGCCTCCGTGCATGGGACAGGCTTCAATTCTGCCCACGGGGATGGATGTGGCCATGGCAGCAGGTGCAGGCATGGGCGCGGCCGCACCGGCAAGGGAAGGATGGAAGGTGTGTGTGAAAGGCCTCGCTGCCTCAGTGATGTAGCTGCATGTGACGTACATGCTCTTCATGTTCACTTCCGTGCATGGCATGGCTTTAGCCAAAAAAAGGTATGGGTATGGGTACGTATGGGTATGGGTATAGGGATGGGCATTGGTATGGGTATGTGTGTGATGTGTATGGGTATGAGTATGGGAACGGTATGGGTATGGTATGGGTATGGTATGGGTATGGGTATGTGTATGAATTTGGGTATGGGTATAGGTGTGGGTATGCATATGGGTACGGCCAAAGGCATAAACCTGCTGCTTGCACCTGCTGCGTGCTACGTCGCCTGTTGCCTGCTGCTTACCGCAGAAGAGAAGGTCAACCGGGATTCGCTTCGACTCCTGCCCTCCCTGGCAGTCTGCCACGCATGGTTGCAATCAGGGGGAAATTGCAGTGAGGGAAAAGTGAGAAACGTTTTTTGGGGGGGAGAAAAAGGACTGGATGCGGGTGGGGGAAATTTGCAGACGAATGCAGTGGGGTATGAACACAAGGGGTGCTACGCCGACTTGCTACATCCAATGAATTATGCGGCCAAATTTGTGTCCACTAAGATGAATCAGTTGAACCACTCACTGCTTGGCCGATACTGCAGGTAGCATTTCCCATCGTCCCCTTTCGAGTACTCCCTTTCATAGTCTGAAGGTGTGCACTCTGCAAGCACGCCAGGGGACGTGAGGGATTACAAGGCACAACAGGCCAGGGGACGTGGGGGTCGGATCAGTCAGACTGCTGAATCTACAGATCCGGGTTTTTCACAGGCTAAGTCCTGGTACAAATGAACATTCAACGCTTAAGAAAGCCTTGTCCTAAACTGCAGGGAGGCCAGGCGTCTAGTCTAACAGCAACAATGGGAATTGCGATCGGATGAGGGAAGGGATGGACAGGGAGCTGACCTCAGGGCTCCATGCGAAAAGGAAGAAGGGAAGGATGGACAAGTGGGGATAGTGCAAAGGAAGAGGGAAGGATGGACAAGTGGGGATAGTGCAAAGGAAGAGGGAAGGATGGACAAGTGGGGATTGCGCAAAGGAAGAGGGAAGGATGGACAAGTGGGGATTGCGCAAAGGAAGAGCGAAGGATGGACAAGTGGGAATTGCGCAAAGGAAGAGGGAAGGATGGACAAGTGGGAATTGCGCAAAGGAAGAGGGAAGGATGGACAAGTGGGAATTGCGCGAAGGAAGAGGGAAGGGATGGACAAGTGGGGCTGACCGCAGGGCTCTTTGCGAATGCTTTCGAACTGGAAGGGATCTGTGCAGTTGCGATTCGCCTTCTCAAAGTTGATCTCCCGCTTCCCATCTGCCACACCACACCGCACCACACCACACCACACCACACCACACCACACCACACCACACCACACCACACCACACCACACCGTGACACCGGTCCATCAAAGCAGCATAATAAACTTCAATATGTCTCAAAACGTGTCGCTCTGCGGAGGACATGGCGCAAGATACACAACGGTCTCAGCCTCGTGTGACAATCCTTAGCCTGAAGCGATGCCATGCAGTGGTATCACTTCGATGCGGCACTGTCGTGCTGAGCTGTCGCGGCGCGTCCATGCTAATGATGTGTATGTCATCATTAGCACATTCTGATAACTCTCAACGAAAGTCGTACCGCTTGTAGCAACTCTCAACGGAAATCTACGACAATACCAGATCGAACTTGACAGAACGGAGTCATTTTGCCACGAATGCGTCGAGGTTACCATGAGAGCACCTACACGAAAAGCGCTTCACTTACTGCCAATAACTCCGCAAGACACCGTTACTACAACTCGCAAATCACCTTGACAGGGGCCGGAAGCTCTGACGTAATCCGTCAGTTCGCACGTCTGGATCCCGCTGGATTCTGGCAGCTGGGCCACCGTCCTTTCGACGCAAACGAGAATGGAGAGAAGTAGGGTAGTGATCAACAACCTCACGCGGACTGGCGCAGACACGTGATATTCAGATCCCCTTATTGATCTGCGACGTAATCCTTTAAGGATTCGCGGTACTTGAGAATCCATAATCGCCAGAGTTGCTGGGAGTCTAACGCGCGAGCAGGGACCAGGGAATGAAAAATTAGTGAAATATGAGATTCGTCGTCGTTAATGAGTGAGGTGGACAATGGCGGACACAAGAAACGAGCGAGTAATGAGTCGCCAGTCGCCGCAAGCTGCACTAATCCGATCGACAAAGGTCATGGCAATGTAACTCGAACGGCTTCCACTGCCTAATTCAGGGAACTCCTCCCACCGCCATGAAAGCGACAGCGAATCAGGGAGTGTGCGATGCAAATCAATCGGCAGTGAGGCTGTGAGGGAGTGGTGTGCCTTTCTGCTTATCAGCAGGGGTGGGATTGCCGAGATGCGATCGGGACTTTCAATAGAAGCACAATCGCAGGTCAGACCACCCATACTGCCAGCATCCTTCACATCTCTACACTTGCTATCGCTGGCTTGTTCCAGAAAATAAACCAATCCAACAAGAGATTATGGTTGTGCACTCAAAACACACTACCGTATCGGATACCTCACATTCACAGTCCGTTCAAGCATACCACGCACTGCAATAACACAATTTGTCCGTTTAGGCTACCTAATTGATTTCCTCCATATCGAGGATGAACTCCACAAGCTCAGCCTTGCGCATCCTCGAATACCCCCGCACTTTCCTCTCCTTGAGCACCGATTTCAAATCCTGGGCAGTCATCGCCTCCAGAATATCTCGCCTCTTCACCCCCCCATTCACACTCGACGCTGCTTCCACCACCGCCTCGATTTCTCCTGCATTTTCTTCTTGACTCTCCACAACCTCTTCTTCCACAGCAACAGCGACTGGCGCATCTGAGACAGGAACAGGTTCCAGCTGTTTCTCTTCCGCAGCAGCAGTGCCAGACAGGTTCAGAACAACTTCTGTAAAGCGGGTGCCTGGGCGCGGTCTGGACTGGAACCTTGGGAATTGGCGCTTGAACTTAGAAGGCAGCCGGGGGGGGAGTGACGAACGCCACCGCGTGGCTGCTTCGACAAGCTCCTGTTGAAAGAGAAAGAGAGAAGATTTAAGTGTTTGGCCAATGATGGAACATGACGGGGAGAGAGAGAGGGGGAGGAAGAATGGGACATCAGACAACATGGACAGCATAAAACAATGTGAGGGTTCATTTTACGAAGCTGATCGACAAAGCTGATATGCAAAATGATGGTCAAGGTGCCATGGATGGAGGGATAGAAGGGGGGAAACAAGCGGACAAGGTGGTTGAAGTCCCGGTTGAAAACAAGGCTGGCGATTCTCTTATGGAAAGATGGCTGGAGACAGAACCGTGATTAAAGAGGTCATGAATGAAAGTGGTGTGGACTGTGGGGGATTGCTGCAGACAGGGAAATCATTCTCGCAATGGGTTCGTATTGGTCTGGGTTTTGGGGTTTTTGGCACCAATGTCAACTTGCAAACAGCAAAGAGCCCGAGTTTTCTTTCACATGCGGACACAGAAAGATGCAAAATTTTGCGAGTGCTTTTATTCTTTCTCCTCCGCAACAGTCGCAACTCACCGATTCATCATCGCTGGACTCGAGCGCTGCGGCCGCCGCCTCCATTTTCCTCGCCATGGCATCCTTGAGCGGGCTCCGCTTCACAAATCTGGTGGGAGGCCGTTCGGGGATCGCAACAGCGGCAGCAGGAGCAGCAGTGGTGGCAGACGCATGGTCAGCAGAGGCAGCACTCTCAGCAGAGGCCTCACCTGCTGCAGTAACCACAGCTGCCCTTTCGTCCTCGTGAACCGCAGATGCTACTTCCGCCACCGCTCCCGCCACCGCGCTCCGCTTAGAGCTCTGCTTGCGCCGCGCATTGGCTACAGGGGACCGCTTCGCGAACCCCATGGGGCGCTGGCGCGTGGCGGCACCTCCTACCGCTGCCGCTGGTTCTGCCGCTGCTACTGCCGCCGCTGCAACTACCTTAGCTTCCTCTACCGTGGCCGGAGCTGCTGCAACTGCTGGCTCTACTTCAGTGGACTCTGCAGGCTCCGCCACGGCTGCTGACTCTGCCTCGGCTGCTGCTGGAGCCGCCTCGACTATTGCTGCCTCCGCCTCGACCGCTGTGGGAGCTGCCTCGACTGCTGCAGGCTCTGCCTCCTCGGGAGTATCGGCTAATGCGTTCTCTGCTGCTGCAGCAACTTCTACAAGAACTGCGCTCACCTCTTCTTGCACTGCTTCAGTAGCAGTTGCTGCTTCTGCCTCCTCTGGTTCCACTCCTGCTGGAGCAGCCTCCGCAACCTCCTCTGGAGCTTCGGGCTCAGCCGGTGCGGCTGTCTCGGCTACCGGCTCTGGCGCAGGCACTGGCTCGGGTTCAGGTTCCGGCTCGGGAACAGGCTCGGGCTCTGGTTGAGGTTCGGGCTCTTGAGCTTGCTCGGGAGCGGGTTCTGAGGCAGGTTCGGGGGTGGGTTCAGGTTCCTGTGCGGGTGTCGGTTCAGCAGAGACTTCGGGTGTAGGCTCTGGCGTGGGATCGATCTTTGGAGGCGCCGAGGGGTCGACATCGCCGAAGGAGTAGAGGACGGTGCCGTCAGGGAGCTCTGTTCTCAGTTAGAGTTGAAATGTAGAGAGGCAATGGGCAAAAAGGTTGAAACGTTATTTTTCAATATGCTAGACACTTGTGGTTTGATGACCAGGACCGCTAAGTGATAAAGGATTAACGTTTCTTTTATAAAGCTTAAAACGGACACAGAGAGGCCGTTCCAAACATGCATTTTGCCAACATAATAACAATGCATGGAATGAAAAGATAGGTGAAGATTTAACGCGAATAAAAATAAGATGGAAGTAACTACCTCTGATGTCGATAATGTCGAAGAAAGGAGGAGGCTGATTTTCTTCGGTTTGGGCTGCCATGACTACGCAACGCCGAGCATGACTGCTCGACCTCGTTGAAATCCATGGTGCAACCGATACCCGGTTAAACGACTTAACTCCTCCAGCAGGGGTCTCGGCGGCGACATTGCTTCGCGCTCTATTTAGCGAGGCCGCCGGATGCGGAGCACAGAGCGACAACATCGAGGTCGCTGCCGCCGCACGGCTGCTCAGCATTGTCACACTCTGGATTGAAGCGCGCGCGAAGGCCAGAGAGCTCTGGTCAGCCCAACTAACAAGGCCCTACAATGACGATGACACCGACAATGAGAGAGGTCTAGAAATAATGACAAATGTGAAGGACCCGTGCAAATGTTGCTCTGCAGATGTTGGGTTGGGGGAAGTTGGGTGGGACTAGCTGCAATGCGGCCGCATTCAAGCATGCAATTCCAATGACATTTGCCTTCTTGAGTACATCGACTCTCAACAAATAATCATCTAAAGAACGTACTGTTCTCCCGTTTTTATTAGGGGTGCTTATTTGAGAACATCTAAGTTTCAGCAGAAACGATTCCTTGGGAGTTCCGCTGGGCAGACAGTGCAGAATCACCAGATGAGCTGGCGGTGAGCGGGAAACTGTTGTACGTGTGGCTCAGCGTCCCTCGCGCGCACATCGTTATCCACTCACGTGGACCTGCTCGCTACAAAGGAGACTCGCGATAAGCATTCTAGTACAAAGAACCAGAAGCACTGTAAATTTGTTTCCGAACTGGAAATTCAGCGAGTACAGTTTGCAATCGACATCCTCTCTTTCTCAGTTTCAAAC